AGGTCCCTGTCACGACGAAAACAACGTGATTATATATTAATGTTATAACAGTCAATAAGTCATCAGAAATATAACAACAAGGATAAGATGTCACATCCAGTTCCTCTTTCCACAACTACCAAAACGCAATTCTTTATTTCATTTCAAACAATCCATCAAACCTTTCTGTCAATTTCATGAAAATCGCGCTGTTTCGTTTGAAAATAATTTAAATCAAGCTATTCTTTCCATTGAGCGCCATTACAAAAGTCCACTTACCAAAAATTCATAATGGTGTTAAAATTTCCTAACAAAAAACTAAGAAAAATTGACACGGAGGTTGTAGCTAAGCATCTCTATATATGTTCATGTCAAGAGGGGATTGATCCCTAAAACATAGCCTTGTAAAAAACAAAGATTGCCTTCCAGTAAATATTGTCAAACTGCAATGATACTCACAAACGAGGAGTAATAGCGGTCAGTCTAGTTCACAATGTAAAAGAAACTGGACAATGAAGCTTGCAATAACAGAATAATCCGTATAACAATTCAAGTGTAATTAGGTTGGTGCAAGATGAGGATTACTAGTGCACCTGGGGCAAAACAAAGGATCCGTTACCTAATGTACCTGAAGGTGCCCCCAAAGGTTTCATTGAAAATAATATGAAAATAGTTACTTCTATCAATTATGAACACATCGAAAATGAAATTATGTCATTTGGAATAAAACTAAGGCCATTCAGTGCATTTAAGTTTGACTACGCAAATCATTCTAAATATCATTTTAAGGGTATGTTAGTCTTCATTCATGATCATTTTAAGTATCTTGACCATTCCTCAATCGATATATCAGAACATCGTTAAGGTAGAACACAAAGAGCAACATATTTAAAACACATATCATAAAAAACTTTGAAAAAATGAACCTTAATAAATATGTTCTCAACAATAGTACCATGATCACCTCAGTTGTTAACAGTAGGCATTCAACCTAGAGGGTATATTAATATATCATTAAGGTGGGACACAGAGGGCAACATACTGAAATACACAAATTATAAAATAACCCCTAAAAATAATATATCATATGATAAAATGAACCTTGTTAAAAGTGTTCTGAACAATAGTACCATGATCACCCTTATTGTATATACTGTAGCTTTAACCTTGGTATTTAACCTAGATACTATGTCGAAACATCATTAAAGATAAGGTAGAACACAAAGAGCAACAGTTGAAAATACAAAACCTAAATCTAGTTGCGACTTTGCATTGCATTATATTTTCATTGTCAAAGAAATTGAAACAATGATGACATAATAGTATTAGTTTATTTCATATGACCACTTAACAAGCAATATTCATTCGAACTAATGACTAGCTGAAATATATTTTTTCGATTATCAGGCTCATTGCTTACATATCACATGTTCTAATAGTATACCCCATGAACAGATTTTTGAAAAACATTATTTTAAGTTACCTTTGTTTAATTGCTTTATTGCAAATGACACGTTTTCTTTGATCTTGTTATCATTGAAAATTGAATACATATCTGTTTAGAGGTTTGAACACGGTGCTCAGAATTATCTATGGGAACCCGGGTTGGATGTCTCTGTGGCATGATACATTGACACAATAGTTTATTGAATATGATAGAGTTTGTTGGAAGGTTCAGTCCAGAATATCTTTCAAGTAAGATTTTTCATTTTTATAGAAGACAATGTTCAAGGCAGAATGGGTTCTTGACTATATTGGCAATTTCAATATGGCCTCCCTTTTGAAACTAAAATTTTTGCTATACTTTCATATTGTGTATTTTCCACACTTAGGACCCTCTCTTATTTCATGTTCGAATTATAAAATAGTGTCAATACTAAACAATAAAGGTAAATTCAGAGGGGGTCTGGTTTGTGGAAGTATCTGTCAATGAATGTAGAAGGTTATTCACTGTTTACAACAAAAACACAATAGGGTGTCTTTCAATACAATAGGATTACTAACTATTTATGCATGAATGGTACATGAAATGAAGCTTAGTAGATTAGGACACATTTAATTCTTATATTGAAAAGTGAAATTAAGTCTATCTACATAACTAAGATTTAATCAAGGTTCTGTGTGAAAATATGTCAAAATTACTCATTTGAAGAGTCAACATGATATGTGTTAAGAATCACTGTAAAAACACCCTTTTACCATTTTTTCCACACTATTTTGGTGATTTGTTGAAAATATACTAAATAAAGATTCAAATTGCATAAAAATAATTCTGGAATTCCATTTCACCATTTTCAATAATTTTCTAAGTTCTTATAGGTACACTAATAGGTACGGATCCTTTGTTGCTTTTATCACATAGTACTGGCTTTTAATGATCGTCTCAATGACCAGAGGATAAAGGCCAAGAACAAATGGGAGTCTAATTACTAATCAATGGTATGAATGTTGCTCCATTTACATACAGGGTGGGCCAAAAAAAAACCAATACCCAACTTCAAATCAGGATAAAAATAGTTACATTCAATATGGTACATTGACTTACATACCATTTTAAAGGTTATACAATTTCAAACAATTTGGTATATAACACTATGTCATGAAATCAATAGTAAAGTTTTATTATACTTATTTGGGAGGCCGGGTCGCTATTTAAGGTCTCCAGATTTAAGGGAGAAAATAGTAAATCTGCGGAATTATGTTAGTTTTTTATTTATAGAATATCATTCTTTTGTTAAGTGAATACATGCTTGGATACTGATATTTTCATCATTGTGTGACTAAATTTATGTTTATGAATTTCAGTGTTGTTTAATAACATTTTACACTTTATTTATTTAAACAATTTTCACAATTGCTCAATATACCCCCACCCCCTCCCCTATGCATCAACAATAAGCTTCAAGTGGTAGCGCAATATATCAATAACATTATTGAGAGATTTCTGTTGCAATTCATTTCAGCACTTTGGGATTCTGTTTCAGCACATCAAAGCTGTTTATTTGATGCTTTTGACTGTACCATTCCTCGAGATGGCTCCATGTATCGTAATCAAACAAATTACATGTAGCATCGGGGCTGTTGGGTGGCCAAGCATCGAGATCAATCAAATTGACACCTTGTTTGCAAAGGAATGCCAATGTCTCTTGAGATCTATGGTACGGGGCAATGTCTTGTTGGAAAATAAAATCCTCGTCACATATACGTTTATTGTCTTTTAACAGACCCCTTTGAGTACTTATTGATAATAAACTACACTAAAATTCATTAACAATAAGTTAAGTCACACAATATGCAAATATACAAGCATTTATTCCATAATAACATGTTTTCCCTGGGAAAATAACAGGGAATAAAAGTGTTATTTGAAAAATCCCGTATCAGATCCCGTATCAGCCAAAATCCCGTATCAGATCCCGTTTTGGATCCCGTATCAGCAAAAATCCCGTATCAGATCCCGTATCAGAAATATTCCCGGTAATTTCTCTTGAGTTTTACGCTTTTCGTCTAGCACATCTCTACAGGAAGTAAAAAAATCGTTTTTATTATCATCTAGTTTACGTCTATTACTGTGACAAAGGTCTATTACTGTGACAAATATGTCTAGGTATGCAACAGAGGATGTTGATGACTTCATTAAAGGTCAAGAAAATATCAATACTTCGAAGAAAACTAAAAGTGACATAAAAATCCTAGTAGATTTTTTACGGAGTGAGAGGAATGAACTCAGACCGATCGAGGAGATAGATCCCCATGATCTTAATGACCACCTCAAACATTTTTTCAGTGGAATCAGTTTGGGTTTCAACATAGTAAATAGTTCTCTACAATTAAAAAAGTCTTAAGTGTGAAATATTATGAAATAAATAGGTTATTGATGGTCGTGATGGAATATGGATTTATTCCTTGAGAAAATATGATATTGGCCTCAGAAAATATCATATTGACACTCGGGCTATCGCCCTCGGTCAATATGATATTTTCCTTGGCCAATATCATATTTTCCCTCGGAATAAAATCCATATTCCATCCCTCCCATTAAATAACCTCTATTTATTCACCTAACAAAATGATATTCTATAAATAAAAAATTACATTATTCCGCAGATTTACTATTTTCTCCCTAAAATCTGGATACCTTAAATACTGACCCGGCCTCCCAAATAAGCATAATAAAACTTTAATATTGATTTCATGACATAGTGTTATATACCAAATTGTTCGAAATTGGATAACCTTTAAAATGATATATAAATCAGTGTATAATATTGAACATAGCTATTTTCAGTCTGATTTGAAGTTGGGTATTGGTTTTTTTTGACCCACCCTGTATGTGTTCCACATAGACATTTCCTTATGCACACTATAAAAACAGACGCGAAGATTTCATATTTTACTTGTTTTTTATTCAATATTTTCATATTTTTTCTTACAAAACTGTACAATCTAGCAATGTGCAATGCTAGTTATATTTTACATCAGTTGAACAGTGACGATGATGATGAGACATAAAACTAAAATCACTGAAAAATACAATACATTACAATGGTCTACATTAGTCTTATGCAAAGCCCAAGAAAACAAACACTACATTGATGAATCCTGTTTTTTGCCAAGTCATTTCTTGATTCTGTGCATAAGACTACATTACATGCTATAGTGTATGATGATTGATGAATAATTTACAATCCCTGAATATATTGCTCAATACCATGAAGCCATTCACATTTTACTGCCCCATCATGTAACTTTAGATTTACAATAATTAAACTAAAGAACCAATCTAAATAATACAGACGATACATCATGTTAGGTGTGCTATCTTTAAAAGATGAATAGCTTCAATAGTGAGATTGATAGTCTCACATCAAACACTCGTGATCACCCCGACATATTCGAACCCTCGCAAGGGTAGAAATATCAATATACAGGGGGACCAGACTTGATATAAGACTAAATACATTGCCTACCTGTCATTTTTAATCGCATTCTCACTTTTAAACCAAAGTGTAGTATACAGTCTGACTAAGTGCAATGTCAGATTATTCTTATCAGATGGCATACATTACCAACTCATACAAATTATACCTCTGTTCACTGACTAACTGTAACCCACCTGTCACACATATTGGTGTGTTACAGTTGTTCACTGTGGGATCTGATAATATCAGTATCTGTTCTTACATTAATGGAATAGATGGCAGTAGCAGATAGAAGCATGTTAGATTCAAACTTTAATACCATAACATGATCAATTCTGCCGTTTATGATTTTTAATGCATCATACAAACCATATCTGCAAAAACTACTGAATAAATAGCACTACCATGACAGTGTATGACACGTAACCAGAACACGTTTTTGTGCCAACCTTGAACATTTTGCTAAGCTATTTTTAGCAGTTCTACTAAAATGCAGAAGTATCAAAAAATAGTACATTGCAAAAAATAAGTGAATAGCATTTAAATCATGTGACTGAAACCCAAGTATCTCTTAGTGTATGTGTAGTATCTTTCTTATCAGGCTTCATACTTAACCAGATACAAACCATTTCTGAAAACTCTTCAATGCACTATCAATCTCCACACCTCAGACATGTATACATTATATGGAGCATTGTTGTCATAGTCCATACACAGAGCTAGTAAAGTTCAGAGAAGTCCCATAATTGTGGAAGTAACCATGCGTTAATGGTAGTTTGCTACAAAACAAGGATACCAGCATGGTGCAATGCTGGGTAAGGAGCCATTAGATATGTCAATACAAATCCAACAGGCGATGTGCAATGCCTTGCTGACCATTAGGGTATTTATTTGGAATTAAAACCATAGTTGAAATTGTTGAAATGTTTTAAGCTCATAATCAATATAGTTCAGCTTAAGTCATGATGCTTAAATTCCCAAAATATCAAATGTGTAAATATTCACTCGTGATAAATAGAAAATCTATAGATAGCCTTGTGCAATGCTGTTGTGTGTCTTTAACCTACTAAACACTGAATTACACATTACAACATCTCATAATACACGATCTATACTCTATTTCTTTGCAAATGAGATCTTCATAGCATTAGATGGAGTGATCTTGAATCCTTGAAGAGCATCCTTAGCAGCGGCTGCTTGCATTTCATTCTCAAACTCGACAAAGGCGATGTCATGACGACCTGGTACCAGACGCACCTCTTTGAACCCTGGGAACCTGAAGATGAAGACAATATTTAAGTATAATATATTTTCTCAACTGAGTGAAATGTCGAATTTTATCTATTATAACAAAATGTTTTTGAAAAAATGAACAATTTAACCTGTCTCAAAAGAAGAGAAAGTAATTAAAATATCAAACATTGTCATGATTTCCTGCTAGGAAGAATGAAGAGTCTTCTAGTCTAGTAGCTGGTTGTCCCCATAATTTTTCTTAACAAGACCGCTTATACATATTTCTAAATGTACACAGTAAAATCACAAATACACTCACTGTATATTTGTACCTGTGTCTGGGATTTGGACCACTCATTTTGTCTCAAGGAAGAGTGACTATTACATCATGTGGTAAGATGAAACAGCCAAAAAGCCTTTACTTTTATGTTGCACTTATGATATGGTCTGTGCCACAAATATCAGGAACAGACCACCAGTATGTTATCAAAAATGCTTTCCAGTTGTACAAATATAGCCTAGTAGAGATGAATACAGGGATTTCATCAAATTTTTTGACAACATGTAAATGAATGAAAAATACAGGAAAAATTATCACAAGGTTGGTCGGAATGACAAAATGCCTAAGCATGACATTTTACTAAAAATGATCAACCACTGTGAACTACAGTGAAAAAAACAGTGAGGCTGTTCTACTTACTGGTTGAACAACATGGACAGCATCATCTCATTGGTTTCTTCAGGAAGGTTGGTTAAGAAGAGAATCTGGTTAGGGGGCTGTTCAGGCATTGCAGTTGGCCCAGTAGCTGCAGGTGGGGCACTTGGAGCAGGGGCGGCTGCTATAATGAAGAAAAAAACAAAACAATGATGAATGGAAGCTTTTATTTACCTGTCAGAAAGACAACAAAAAATCAAATTTTTGTCTGAAGGGAAGAAAACAGACATACCATGAGACATGCCTGCCAAAAACCTTCATATTGTTTGATATAGCACTGCTTTGTATGGCTATTGTTCATTGAGTTTGAACTTTCACCTTAACATTGCGTGCAAGTCCCGAATGATCAAACACATTTTGAGAAGATATTTTCATTGACTCTTTATAACTACAATGAAACAGGAGTAGAACTGGAAAGATTTAAAAATATGGTGTAAAATGTAGTATTACCTTGTGCAGGCATCTGTGGGGTGAACTGTTTGGGAGCAGCATTAGAAGCAGCAGCTGCAGCCTCCCTCCTGAAACGACAGCATTAAGCATTGTAATAAAAACAGCATGAAAAACCAGGCAATTCAGCCTCTTGCACATTACCAGTTGAAATATTCTCAATATGAAATTAACAGGATACATGATACAGAACAGAACTGAATGTTGAAAGTATGTAAGTTTCCATGTTAAATATTGCGTCAATACCCTGCTACACGATATCCTTTTCCTATCCTGGGTTTGAGGCAATTAAGTGGAAAGGGAGTAGAGGGGAATGTGCAGGATCTAATTATAATATGTCCTAACTGGCTAAATTTAAGTTTGTTTCAATGTTCAGCTTTTCCATTATAATTTTCTGGCTGTTGTTGGTAGAATTCTATTTAAACCCAAGTTTGAGTGAATAAATTCTGACATTTACAGATGCATACTTTTCACAATTGCCAGTTCCATACCTGCCAACCTCTCAGAGAAAAAAAACAGGAGTTTTTTAAAAAAAAAACAGGAGAATCCGGGAGATATTTTGCAAAAAACAGGAGAAAAACAGGAGACTTTTACTGAAAAAAACAGGAGAAAACAGGAGACTTCTTTTAAAAAACAGGAGAAAACAGGAGGTTTCTTTTAGAAAACAAGTTACCATCTAAAAAACAGGAGATTTTCAGTCTAAACAGGAGATTTTCTTTAAAAACAGGAGAAAACAATTTATTTTAAAAGCATGAGAAAACAGGTTATCTTTAAAAACAGGAGAAAACAGGGTATTTCCTTTTAAAACAGGAGAAAACAGGATATTTTCCTTAAAAACAAGAGAAAACAGGATATTTTCTTTAAAAACAGGAGAAAACAGGAGACTTCTTTATAAAACAGGAAGTTTCTCTTGGTAAAGATACTAAGTAAAAAACAGGAGATCTTCTGTCAAAACAGGAGAGGAGGAGGATTGGCTCCCAGAATGCAACATCGATACTCTGTCGATATTCTTGATGTCATGATTGCAAAATTCGAATTCAAACAGCCGCTATTTTATTCACTTCAACATTTGTATCGTTAATTTTGGTCTTATTTTCAAACGAAAATGCAGTTTGAATTCGAATTTTGTAGTCACGACATAGGGAGTATCGGTATCGATGTTGCATCCTGGGAGCCAATCCTCCTTGGTCCAGGATGGAAAAACCAAAAAGCTCACCGTAAATGTAACTTCAATGGTAAAATCATTCAAACTTATCTAACATGATTTCTCTTAATGTATAGATCTATACATGCTCAATCTTGGTAGGCTTACGCAATCGTGCATAAATAGACAAAATTATTCTTACCCCGTTTCACGGACATACTTGCGCAGATTCTTATCACCTCCACTCAGGAGATTATCTACGTAATACGCATGCGCTGGGATCGTAATAAAGGATGGATTCGCTCTTACTGATTAAAATTGTTGCGCATGCGCTAATTTCCTTGTTGATTGGACATTTATATTAGATTAACTTTGTTTTTCATGATTAGATGTCGCTGGAGTTAATTGACTTTATGTAAGATACTGGAGACGATCGATGAGTACTCGGATTCAAGTTAAAAATCGGGAGGTAGGAGGAAAAAACGGGAGGACACAGACAAAATCGGGGGATTTTTACCTTAAACATGCGAAGTTTTTTGTAGAAATCGGGAGAAAAAATCGGGAGATGATGAAAAATTACAAAATTAGAAAATCGGGAGATGGCAAAATTGCGCGGGAGATGAGTTAAAAAAACAGGAATCTCCCGATTTAAATCGGGAGTTGGCAACTGTGCAGTTCTCTATTTAGTAGATTGAAAGTATGTCTGAAGGGAAGAAAACAGACATACCATGAGACATGCCTGCCAAAAACCTTCATATTGTTTGATATAGCACTGCTTTGTATGGCTATCGTTCATTGAGTTTGAACTTTCACCTGTAACATTGCGTGCAGGTTTGTACCCTAAAAATATATCCTGGTAACTCAAGCCTTGATAACATTAAATGAATGAAGTCTTACTTGGCCTTCTGTTTCTTCCTCTTGCCACTCTCTTCCTCCACTTTCTTTTGCTTCTTGGGTCTCTCTACAAACGTTCCCTTCATTTTGGCTATTATGTCAGAGTCCTTCTTTGAGTAGGCTATCCTCTACAAATCAATCAAAATACACTGAAATGGGTATTAAGATTTCTCTCAGTTTAAACAGTAAATTCTGCATTTGAAACAGAAACAGGCAATTCAGTAGTATTTCTCCATGTTTGTAGTTCCAAGTAAGACAAATAATGCATATCTCTTATTTAGGAATAAATAATGATAGGCCATTCATTATGGGGAAATTCAGCACGAGTTTGACAGAATGTCGTACAAAGCACAAACACAAGGTATCATTAATGAAATGAGTGTATTTGTACGGACATCCTGTTCAACAAGTGTAGAATTTCACCATATTGAGTGGTGTCTCATTATTAATTCTGATTCAAACATAAAAATAAAACATTGTTTAGAAAATTGGGGTCCATAAAATAACCAAACTTGCTGTTATTTTCACCATTCATAGGTGTGAAGTCACAATATATAGTTCCTGGATGATTGACGATTGAAATATATGATGCATTCTGATTGGTTGAGAAATTCAATTATAGAGCATGATAATGTTTGAATTACTGATGTTGCCCAAAAAAATAGTTATATCGACTAGGAGTTCTTGAAAAACACTGGATTGAATTATTATAAATGGATCATGAATATTTATATATTCCAACTGAATGTAGGTTTATGTGAATAAAACATAAATGTAAGAATTCTAACCATAGGTTTATCATAAAAGGGGAATCCCTGCATAGACCTGAGAGCACTGGTTGCACTTGTTACTTCTTTGAATATAACAAATGCTTGTCCTCTTGCCTTTAACGTCTTAGCTGCAACTATGTCCAGGATTTGACCAAACTGTGAGAATATTGCAAAAAGAGACTTCTTCAGTTCTGAAATAAAAGTAACAGAGACATGAATTCAAAACCATAAGAATATGGCAAACAAAGCTTTTTGAACTTTTTTTACACATATGCTACAAAAAGAACATGATTTTTTATATTACCAAGCCAATTGACAAAAATTTAGTCTTGTCTGAAGGAAGAGTGACTATCTCATCATGGGGTAAGACGAAACAGCCAAAAAGCCTTTACTTTTATATTGCACTTACGATGAGGTCTGTGTTACAAGTATCAAACAAAGACCAGTATATATTACAAGTGCAGTTAATAAAGTGTGGGTTGTTTGATGTTTGTACTCTGTAATAATAGCTGTTTTCCCGATATATATCACGAGGTAAAGGATTCTCATTTGCACAAGATTTGGCAAATTCATTCAATTATTTTCATATTTTTTCATTTCCAAATAAAGTGTTCAACTTGTCTACTCACTTGAATTTTTCCAAGAAACATGAAAAATACAAGTGAGCCAATAACTGCACTGTGGTCCTTTTTTGATTTTGGTTGCTTTCTTAAAGGTTTTATAAACTCACAAAAGGTGATTTTGACTGAAGAAGTTATGAATCCTGTGATGGATGGAGTCAATATGAGGAATACTACATGTTCTTACCTTCCTTCTTGATCTTCTCATTGAGATTGTTGATATAAATTGTGTTGTTTGGTCGAATATCCATGTTTACTGGTGGTATCTGATGTTCGAGTTAAGGTTAGATATTATGTATGTTCAGGAATTTTAATGGCTTCCTCACTGCACAGAAAGTATGAATGGGTCGTCTGCTGTATTAGTCTATTATTTCAGTAAAGTCTGTTACACTGCTTCAAAGCCAAGTAGTTAAACCTGAAATCTAAGAAATCTAAATAATATTGTGCAATAATATATAGAAAAATATATTCATATTGCACACGAATGACATTTGTATATGTTGGATTGCTTGTAAATTGGCTCATAAAGTCTGTAACCTCTTATATTTTGATGCTTCTCTACCATGTTAATTCTCAAAAAAATAACATGGCGGACAGACCTCAAATTACAAGAGGGCACAGGCTTATTGCACTAAACACTAAATAATCTGAAATATACAAATGTCATTCATGTGCAATATGAATATATTTTTCTATATATTTATGGCACGATGGTCTATAGATTTCTTATTTTTCAAGTTCAACTGCTTGCCTTTGAAGCAGTGTAACAGACTGTAGGACCTGTTCGTGCTCTTTAAAATTTAGACCCAAGTATAGAAGAATACACACAAAAATTATAAATTATAAAATCAACGAACAAACATTCAATTTTCACAATGTTCGGTAATCTATTATATTGAAACTTCCGGAACTTACAAGGAAATCATTCATTTCCACGGTTCGTATTTTACCTCTTGGATATTGTGCTGAATGCTCTATGGTAGACATAACAAAGGTGATAGGGTTTCATTGAAATATGTGTTCTAACCTCTAGAGGGTAAGTAAGACTCCTAATCTTCAGGTAACTCTTATATTTCAAGTTCTTCCGACGAAGTCAGTCCAGGAAATTGGGTGTACATTGTTGTCTCCGATATTGCTAGAATACAGGCTTCTCATGTTTGTGTTGTTTGCTGTATCAGCATTGAACAAATTGCTTGGAGATTAAAAATATCTAGATGTAGATGTTACCATGTGATCCAATCCTTCTCAGATTTAAATAATGAAAATAAAACAAAAATATAATAAAAGATCTAGGCCGACCTTACTCACTTCGAGAGCCATGTTAGATTTTGAAACTTATGGCTCTCAAACGGAGAACTGAACAGCTGATCAATAGTGACCTTTGAAATCGAATTAAGTCGATCAGCGGCTTACTTTTGGTCTCTAACTGTGTCTTACATCAGTATCATCAATCCGTGTAAGTATTGGAGCGCTGGAGTACTTCTTTTTCGATCAAGACTTGTAAATTGTTCATCGAGTGAAAGTTTTTTAGACCTATTTCCAATATGGTGGTTTGCTAGGTGCGAGATACGCAACGAACGAAATGAATTTTGAGAATTAGTTAGGTTCGGACAACCTCCGGAGATTTACAAAAATGTCCGAGCAGAAACCGCCATATTGGAATTTGGCAGTAAAACGATTCACTCGACTAACAATTACAAGTCTTGATCGAAAAAGAAGTACTCCAGCGCTCCAATACTTACACGGATTGATGATACTGATGTAAGACACAGTTAGAGACCAAAAGTAAGCCGCTGATCGACTTAATTCGATTTCAAAGGTCACAATCATTCAGCTGCCCAAATGCTCCGTGGGAAAGCTATTATATCAAAATCCAAATAGCTTACGCAGGAAGTAAGGCCGACCATTCATAAAGTTGCTCAAGGATTTTTAGAAAAAAGGAGAGGTTCAAGTCATATTCATCCTTACTGAACACCCGTCTACGGTCACATTTGAAGGCTAAAGTGACTTCTGCCATCCCGCTTATCTGAGTATTCATCATACATTTACTGAATACATTGTTATTTGAAATTTCAAATTCCCTCAATATAAATCAAACTAAATAAGCTCTTACTGTTCAAATTCAACCGTGAAGCCACTGATATTCTCAGATACGTTGTAAATCATATTTCTCCTTCACATATTCTGTTCATTTTAATCGATGGTTTTAACTTTGTAAGGATACTGGTCGATTTTGATACGATATCGTCTCTTTCACGTCTTTCAATTTTCAGCAATGGAGTCTTCTCGAATTTTCTCGCAAAACTTTACGGCAACTTAACTATTTAGATCGAGAGAAATACTGCGCATTGAGATGTTTGAGTAGTACTAGATATTGATATTAATGTTTATGTATGCATTTGGTAAATCTTAGCGTCGAAACTTTGTATTAAAGAATAAAACATAACAATTTGGTTAGTGACCTTGAACGAGACTTTGGGGTCACGAGACCAAGACCGCCATATTGATTCTGAAAAATAAAAAACAGGAAGATGGTAAGTATTTTCAGTATCTACATATCTGTGGTGTACACAGTTGTGCAATGTACATTAATATAGGTATTTTATATATTTATCAAGCATTTGGCTTCGTGTTTGCCATTATTATCTTCCAGTATGCACTTCATCATGGTGTATATAAATATTTTTGAAAGGGGGTGGGTCATGTGATAAAAACAGTGATTATAATTGAGAATGTGTCACTATTTAGTCTATGTATGCATGTATACCGTATCTTTTTATTAGTTCTAGTGCACTGACCAACTTGTACAAAACTACATTGATCAACTATCGCATGTATATACATCACAAACTCCCATGCTAGAAAAGTCCTCGTGGGGTATAGTTCAACGTCGTAAACTCAATAACAGTGTTCTTACTATAAGGAATTTTCTTGGCCGCTATTGGGTTTAATGTCCTTACTATTCTTTTTTTATCGCAAGTTCTGGATCCATTTTTCCGCGATAACATGCCACTGATACTTGACAATAATATAAAAACACATAACATCAAGCGATTTAACACAATATTATTGTGCTAAATGTTCATTTATACAAGTAAAATAAGGCTACACTTACCAATCTCTAAAATGACATTTCTGCATGTCCGTCATTGTGTCTGTTCGTCATGGGTTAAAATTAAACTATTAGCGAAACAAAATTGTTGTCAAATAGTTTCATAATTATTATCTGGATTACTCGTGATAAAAAGATCAATTTTGAGGATAAGAGGTATCTTTGATTGATTTATATAGGGTGTGTACACACGCAAAATAGTTAATAGTTGCAAACCTACTGTTTGTTAATGCAGTGCCGCAATGACGGTTAACTTCTGATATGATTTGCAATTTCGATGTTATCAGAACTGACTGACATTTTTGTTATATTCCAAACCTGTCTCTAATATAATCGTAATTATGCATCAATAGGGTCTTAGGGGGATATGGGGTGGAGTGTATGTATTCATAAGGTATGTATGCATGCTTGAATCACATTTTTTTATGTAATATTACCATGTTTTCAGGGTTTAAATAGTTCCACTTGTCGAAACATGTGGAACGAATAAATTAACGCATCAAAGGCAAAATGATCATGGAGGTTAGACCTAGCCAGGGCCATAAGACATGTCAGATAAGAAACGAGGCCCAGGCTAGGTCTAATGTTGTTGGACTACATGAGGTAATGTCAACAGGAAAAATGGGGTAACTTCGACATTTACTTATGAGAAATTAGAATTTCCTTTTTCCGTGATGTTTGATTTCTCGAAAAATTAAAATTTCCTGAGATCTTGATCAATGCAAGAAAAAAGTATGCCTACCCCTGAATGGTGTTGACGTTATACATCTTCGCCCTACTATAAATGATAAAAGTACAGGGAAAGTCTTCAGTGGTCATTTCATAGTGCAACCAGAAAAAATCGTAGCACATGTACACATGTTATATGATCCTAAGTTTAAACCAATAAGATTATTATATTAGCGCTAAAGGGAAAAGACTAAATACCTTAAAGCACAACTGAAATAGCTTTTCTCAACTTGCAGCTACAAAAATGCAGTTTTCTCCATTGTAAGCCCAACGCAGAGTTCTTACGATAGCCATTATAAAATAAATGTTAGATAACTGCTAACGGTCATAAATAACGATATAAAACTAACTGATCAATCAAATTGGCCCCCACGTGATAAGTAACGTCATATACAAAATATAGCTTTGGTTTATTGGTACCTTAGTAATCACAACGTCACGGCAACCATAGGATTGTAGTGTAAACCAAAACAAAACAGTTTGGCATTATGACGTTATGGGCCACGTGGGGACCAGTGAGAGATCACGTGGGGGCCAATAACGTCACAACCAATTTGAATATTGCTTATTAAGCAGCTATAACGATCGTTAGAGTGAAATAGTTTTCGCACTACTGATGAGAAAACATGTCCAAATACATTTATCAAAAAATTATATTGATTCCTTTAGGTTAAAAATACCATTTCATATCTGCTTTAATGAATAATAAACATCTTAGTAATACATGTTTATTAACATGAAAATATACAAAATTGTTTCCTTTTTAATTGCCTATGCTAATTTGATCCCCCATTTTAAATATTGACACTTTCAATTTGAACAGTTTGTCAATAATTTTGGATTTAAAAAGGTTTGAAAGTATTGTTCTATCTCCTTCTTCAAAAATATAGTAAACACATCAGTGAATGAATGAGATAAGATGCCAAGTCAAAATGTCGATACAACATACTTGTTTTATCACAAGTTTAACAAAGAGGTATACTCTCCTGGTAAAGGCTTTGAATTAAGTCCCAAAGTATTGCATCTTTTTTTAGGGTAGCATCGAAGCTGGATCTTGAAGGATGGGATAATAAATATATTTGAGTGCTTTTGCATAAAAAATGATTGATATTTGTGTAGGCCGAGGATGGTCTACATCCTTGATAATGTGAAGGGCACTGATTAGAGGTCTTTCATTGTTAAATGAAGGCTACCCATAGTACCATTCTCACAAAATTGTTATCTGCTTCAAGTATAAAGATGATACAAAGTCTATTTATAATGATATTTTCCCATACAATGTCAATGCAGAAGAGTGTTTTGAATGTTTATCATACTATTCTATACTTTCTAATTATTAAAGCAACATAGTCATTTACCTATTTATGCTTTTGTGATGCCCAATTTAAGTGAACTTAATTTGTCACCATGCCTCTTTAAATGAACTTAATTTGTCACCATGCCTCCTTAAATGAACTTGATTTGTCACCATGCCTCTTTAAATGAACTTGATTTGTCACCATGCCTCTTTAAATAAACTTGTTTTGTCACGATGGCTCTTTAAATGGACTTAATTCTTCACCATGCCTCTTTAAATAAACTAGATTTGTCATCATGCCTCTTTAAATAGATATAATTCGTCACCATGTCTCTCTAAATAGACTTAATTTGTCACCATGCCTCTTTAAATGAACACTTTTATATGCTTTTTACACAGTCAGTTTCACTAAGAAGCAAAGAGTAAGAAGTTGAGTCTGAAAATGGACCATTGTACTTTGATTTCTTTTTTGTTTTTTGAATATAGTTTCAGGCAATTCTTTCCTCATTTTTGCCAAGTTGTATGAACTTTTGATCCCTGTTTTTATAACAAAATAAACATACCCTGGTCACATTAACCCTGAGCTTAAATTGTATGTATCAACCTTTATCGTCTTAAAGTGTCATTGTTTGCTCATATTTTTAGCTCTGTTTGAGTTTTTATTTAATACTGTTTAAATCTGCAAGCGCCTTATACCAGCCAGTATTTCTTAACTTTTTTTTTTTTTGGGGGGGGTGCGATCGCCAATATTTTTAGTTTTCAGTCAGGGGGGTGTGCAATTATGTCATAAGCAAGGCAAAAATTCATGCAACTTCCTTCAAAATTGATCCAGAAGCTTCAAAAAAGCATTCAAAGCTCTTCTTCCATCCAAGGGTCCTGGCTATGCCTGACATGTAGGTGGTGCAATCTCTGAATTCTCATCCTTATACATTACCGTAACATGTTGTTCTTGGGAGATCACTGCTAAAATAATACCTCCACATTTTCATGCTGATTACACATTACACTGAATACCTCCACATTTTCATGCTGATTACACATTACACTGAATTCCCATATTGTAACAGATTGCTATCTTCTTAAACACAAGTTCTATGCTTCTAACAAGATTTGCAATGTCTGAATGAACTTATGTTCTTGCAGTTTCATGTTTTTCATGTTTGAATAAAAAAATTCCATTTGATGACAATAGACAAATTTTAGTAAATTAGAATTTAGTTAAATTTCATGGCATTAAAAATGAATTGTTCAAAATCATGTTTTTTTCTCATAAACGAGTATTACACTTAAGCGAAAAGTCTTGCCACATACAAGACATCAATTTCAATAAAATATAGGGTAACAAACTTAGCAGAACCATTATATATGAGAATTGAATGATGAGGCGGATGAGGGTCAATTGGGAATCAGATCGATCTTAAGACTCAGAGTAAATAGAGTGATACAAAATAAAGCAATTCACATATCAGTCCCTTATAGATACTTCAGTTTTTGCAATATAAATGGTTATATTTTCACTGATCCCTGTTTTTTTGTGGCTAGTATACACCAGGAATTCCCCTTCTCTCACCTCCCCAAATTACACATATTATAGGAGGATTATCAAATGAAAAGATTTGTGGGAAAATTATCATTTTGTTTGTTTGATCAGTACCATCTTTATCATGGGATATAAGTGACAAAGTGACATTCAGTAGTATGCTGTTATACCAGGAGGGTTTTACTGAGCACTGCACTCTATACTGTAGTTGGTGATCCTATGCATACTTTATAGTAGTAAATAAGGAAAATTGATGCAGTAATTTCAATGTAGGTCTTTTATGGCTCACCTATTACACATACAGAATTTTTATACAATTATGTGGAAAATGAGTATCCTAAAGGTTGGGTATGATTAGTACAATGATACTAATTTGGTTTATGTTTCACAGAGTTTCTTTGGGTTTGGTCCCAGTGCAGAGGTGGACATCGTCCTTGAGGGGCAAGACACAAGAAAGACTGCAGAGATCAAAACAGAAGATGGAAAGAAAGAGAGGCATTATTTATACTATGATGGTGAAACAGTTTCTGGCAAGGTAATACTTTTATTTTCACCTTTAAGCCACTCCCATGTGAGATATCTGATATTATGAGTCTTTTATGATTATAGTATCATTACTATCAGATCATTTGCAGACCTAGTTTTGTGAATCATCATCCTGAAAGTGGTTTATAATGTACCTTACAAAGCCGCTAAACTATTTGTGTTTATTGTTATAATTTGAATTAAATACAATAAAAAAAATCTGATATTTAAAGCCCCCGATAAATCGGGCTACGTATACCGCCGTGTTTACATTAGGGGATTAGAAGAGTTTATTTTTACTTTAGGTATGCAAGCAATATCAATATTTGGCCGTCATGCATGTACTTGTGTGTACAATCAGCATGCCCTTCAATAGTATATAAGCCAGGCTATTCAAGTACAACATAATGTACACTATTTATGTGTGTACAACATGGGAATACAATTCCCTGGGAAACAAAACACAAATACTTTTTATATGTTCAAAATGAGCCATTTGATTGATGCATACACTTAATACCTTAATATATAAACATCTACAAAGTATATCTAATAGTCATTTTCAATTCCAATGGTGAAACTTGCCTGGTTACGATTATACGGGAAATCAACACGGGACGACATTTGTTCACCTTCCTGCCTTACCTCTGAAGCCTGTACCCTGGAATCTCTTTATATAGGTTAGCGAGAGCGCTGCGCCTGCGCAGTTTTAAACTTTGGCGCACACTTTAAAGAGCAGGAGTTTAGTGTTTCACAGACAATGACAGTGATTTTCTGCAAAGCGTACAATATAACTTTTTATCATATGATTTATCGATATTCTATATAGGCACTCGACTTTGTCTCGTTCCAATACAGAATTTCTCGAGCAGAATATATCCTGTATTGCTCTTCAAATCATTCAATAAATTATTATTTCGTATTTTTGTGAAAAATAGCAGGTCACCAACGATATGGTGAAAATAAATAATGTTCATTGGAGATCTGAGATTATACTCATTTTCATTCCTAATAAGATAAATGTAACACTTTTATACCTTGTAATGCAATAACAATCACAGTTTATAGTCACTTGGATAACATTTGTCAATTAATCCAGCAGCAGAATCATCAATTCTATGTTGCTAAAATTAATGCATTTTAATTTAGTCATTTTATTGTAATACAGGTTCCAAAACAATCACTTGCAATCAATATTAGCCATTGTATCACCCTCCCTCCCACATTTTTCCCATGCTGTATGAAGGACTAAACACCTTTACCATTGTTCAATAGTAGTTTTTCTGCAACCATAAAATGTCATTGACCTATTTGTTGTCAGTGACCCATTTGTCATCATCAACCTATGTTTCGTCATTGATCTACTTGTTGCCATTGACCCATTTGTTGCCATTGACCTATGTCTTGTCATTGACCTACTTATTGTCATTGACCCATTTGTTGTTGTCAACTTATGTTTTGTCATTGATCTACTTATTGACATTGACCCATTTGTTGTCATCAACTTATGTTTTGTCATTGACCCACTTGTTGCTATTGACCTATTTGTTGTCATCAACTTATGTTTTGTCATTGATCTACTTGTTGCCATTGACCCATTTGTTGTCATCAACCTATGTTTTGTCATTGATCTACTTGTTGCCATTGACACATTTGTTGTCATCAACTTATGTTTTGTCATTGACCTACTTGTTGCCATTGACCTATTTGTTGTCATTGACCCATTTGTTGTTGTCAACTTATGTTTTGTCATTGATCTACTTGTTGCCATTGACCCATTTGTTGTCATCAACCTATGTTTTGTCATTGATCTACTTGTTGCCATTGACACATTTGTTGTCATCAACTTATGTTTTGTCATTGACCTACTTGTTGCCATTGACTTATTTGTTGTCATTGACCCATTTGTTGTCATCAACTTATGTTTTGTCATTGACCTACTTGTTGCCATTGACCTATTTGTTGTCATTGACCCATTTGTCGTCATCAACCTATGTTTCGTCATTGATCTACTTGTTGCCATTGACCCATTTGTTGCCATTGACCTATGTCTTGTCATTGACCTACTTATTGTCATTGACCCATTTGTTGTTGTCAACTTACGTTTTGTCATTGATCTACTTGTTGCCATTGACATATTTGTTGTCATCAGCTTATGTTTTGTCATTGACCTACTTGTTGCCATTGACCTATTTGTTGTCATTGACCCATTTGTTGTCATCAATCTTTGTGTTGTCATTTACCATTTTTGTTGAGATTTTCTACTTCCTGTTCAATTAAGTTTTCATTTGCTGTTAATGTGATGTAACGTGTAAAAGAGGAAGGTATTGGCAAGACTATCACATATTTTGCCAATGAAACAAAAACAAATTGTTAATAAAAAATAAAAAATACTCACTGTTATACTATATTGCACAAGTCTGCAATGAAATGAAAACACTGATCTATTAATTATGTATCGATATATCATCCCCTTAGGCCATAACCCTTTCACTTAGATTGGCCATTGAGGACAACCTCATAAAAGCTGATAAGAAACATGCACAAAATGCAAATGCCCTACAGTAGGTGGTATTATTATAGAAAATAACAGACAGGATTTTTACAAAGGTTGTCATGAGTCAATCACATGCTGGAGCTACACCTCCCATGATTATACATAATATCAACTCAAAGCAAGTACTACAGAGTACATTATTCAGGCTTGAGGGAATCTGGCTCATTGTGTATATTTCCTCAATATGTTATATGAAATAAGCTTGGATTGCCAGTATTTCTCTATCATGAATAATTTTTGACATTACTCACTCGTTTCCTTTGCTCTGATTAGTGTATTGTTACTGGTGCGGTTACAAATATCTTTTTAAAAAATCATTCTATGTAAAATAATAAAACATACATGAAAATATATTGGTGCTAATATGATATTTCCTTGTACTATTTTTAGTTCTCCTGGTGCTTTGCTGGTATACTATTGTTGTATACTACTGTTTTAAAACTTGTGATTTACTACATATTCTACATGTCATAAAGGGAAACAGGAATAGCACACATACATACATGTAATAAGTCACAAGATCACACACTTGATTCTGATTGTGCCAAGATTAGCCAGTAACCTTATGAAGGTTTAAACTTATTTATATAAAGACTCTATTACATCTGACAAGTCATCTTTTATTCTTTCACTCTAATGAGAATAGTATTTTAATATGTCATCTACTGTATTATCAATGAATTCACAGAATCACAGGGATGATTGTGAGCTATTATTATTAGACATTCCAAGCTCAAATGATTTACTTCAAATCAGTTAATTTATATGTCAACATATATTGATTGACCTACTGTATAATTCACTTTTATAAACGCACACTGCATCTCCCAGATTCTCTTGTAGGAGACGTCTCAAATATCAAAATCTCTGAGGATTTATAAAACATAAATATATAGGGTATTACATGAATTTCAAACTAGACTCACTGCACCGATTAAATAACAAAATGTCATACCTCAATGTTTTCCTGGTGCATTTATTGATCAACTGAATAATAGTGAATATGTTTTCGTAGGTAAATCAGCATATATGCAACAGTATCAATGACAATTTCACTTTTGCCATGTTGGATGTTGAAGACGATGCCCGATGCGACGACAAGTCAAAATCTAAAGGCTTTCTGTCACTGACTGGTCTTTACTCTTCATAGTCAGATAAAATATGTTCTATTTTCATATAATATTATACTACTAAACATTTATGAAGGAATAAATGTTTTTTTGTGTGGAAAAAATAACTGGATTAATGTTCATTATAGCTTTTAACTCATCACTTTAAGGGTATCGTGAAATATCCCAGTATCTAAATCCTCTTTATCACTTACAAAAATATCTGTATTACCATCTTTGATATTATAGTAGCCTACATGTAGAACAGAACTACATGTACGTTTTTTGTGTTGAAAAAGTAGGCTTGGTACAAAAAACCTCATACCCATGTACCTATGTGGGTACATGGGTACAAGGTTTTTTATACAAAGCCGGAAAAATATGAAAATTATTTAGGAATTTAGAAACTCCCATCATGCATTGCAAGTATCTAAAGAAAAGATTGTCAAAGCCACTTCTGATTATCATTCATTATGGGTTTAAACTCATGATTTAGAGACAAAAGAAGGCCATGTATTTATTGGGATATATGCATCAGTATAATATGAGAGAATATGGTAAGCAGTTTGACAATTATCTCATAGATGGGATCTGCCATAGGGCGTTTGCAGTAAATCAGATATTGGAATGATGATGATACAGGTCCATTAGTGCATATTGCTTTGAAGATGTTATTTCATTCACTATATCACATTTAAGATCGTAATATATATTAGCTTTATGCTTCTGGTGATTGCTGAGGAAATGTTTCATCAAGCATATGTAATGAAGCTTATCTATTAAATATGCTGCTTTTGCACAATACATCATCAAAGTACATCGTCATTCCACAATACAATAGCTAATAAGTGAATCTGTAACTTGAAAATGTTTGCAATTTCAAGAAATTCTAGTAAATCAAACAATTTCCTCATCATTAAGATAAAACCACCGTCAATATACAATCGGGAACACCTATTTTGCATATGTATTTTACATGTGATATATCAATCATTCTGTTTATATACACAATGATCAGAATGTTTTCTACTTGAGGTATAGTACTATATAATGAAATTGAATCATGTAAAAACTGAACCCTTTTAGATTAAAAGCCCAATGTGTTCAACTTTCTTATTGCATACTCTATTCTAGATTGCATGATATTATTCAAATTTCTCATAAATTGTTCAACTTCATGTATTTTCAGGTGAATGTTCGGTTAAAGAAAGGCAAAATGGAACATCAAGGAGTAAAAATAGAATTCATAGGACAAATAGGTAAGGACCTCTTTAAAAATGACCCTTGCCAAAATGTTCTTTTTTTTGTTATTTACATATGTATATCCCTAATGGAATGAATGGCAAAACAATAATGCAAAATAAACTGTGAAACTGATTGAGCAATATTCCCTTTATATGAGAAGTATTTATACATGTATGTTCTTTGGATATAAATAATAAGGGAATAGGAGATTTTAGGCCAATCATGTATTGCTGTTATGTACTCTTGAAAGACTGATGAGACACAAATCTTCTTCCATATAATTGGCAATTCGTGATATATACTGTATAGGTCAATGTATGGAAAAAGGCCCAAAGATAATTTTAGGCTTTTACTTCCTGTCGCTGTTATTTTTTATTCATTTGCCAAATATAGCATCCTCCTAAGCAGGTATCCAGAATCCGTACCTCCTTCTTTCCCCTGCTATAACCAATTTGGAAGCGCCCGATTAAATTGAATCACGTGATCTAATTATGCGCAATGACTTAAACATGATTTCTGTCGCAGTGTTGCGACAGCCAATCAGATTGCGAGTTCTTAATCGGGGAAATGCTAACTGCTTATAGCAGGGTGTAAAAAGAAAGAAGATATTCTGGATTTTGAAGCCCTGTGATCGGAGGATGCAAATATAGTGGCACAATGAAAAACAGTTCGGTTATACATAAAACATTATTTTTTACAATGAACTGCAAATTCAATTTTAGAATGTTATAAGGGACAAGATCAGAGTGTTAATGTAACATACCAATCTAGTAAATCATGCTACCCCTTCCAGGTTTTCATTCCATCCTTACAGTTGCAGAGCAAAAATAGGGATAGCTAATTACAATTTTGTTCACAAACAATACTGCCTGTAAATTATGACATCAGAGACTAAAACTAGCCAATATGACTAGGTTCCTCAAAAGAGCTTAGAGGCCAAGATTAATGAGAAATATTAATCTTAACCTGATTTGAAAAATGTTTTATTTTGTAGAATTATATTACGACAGAGGTAACCATCATGAATTCACATCGCTAGTCAAAGAACTTGCAAGGCCGGGGGAACTAACAGGCAATGCCAGCTACAGTTTTGAGTTTATACAAGTTGAAAAACCATACGAATCATATACAGGCGCTAATGTCAGACTAAGGTATGAAACATATGAAGACAGAAATTATAAAACATACTGATATCTTAACCCAGAAAATCAATGTAAATATTCAGATACATTCCTAAATATAGAATTCAGTGACAAAATCAACTTTATAATCTTTACTGCCTATTAATAAGTATGTACTGTTATTTTTTAAAAGTTTTTATCAATACTTATTGAATGCCCTGTAGTTATTATTCAGATCTGAAGAAAATCATCTTATTATAAACATTGCAATATACTTATAGATGAATACATATGACTGAATTATTCCTTCACAGGTATTTTTTACGAGTAACTATAGTAAAACGCCTGAGCGATTGTATTAAAGAAACGGATATAGTAGTTCACACTTTAGCCCAATACCCTGACTTAAACAACAGCATAAAAATGGAGGTTGGGATTGAAGACTGTTTACACATAGAATTTGAGTATAATAAATCGAAGTGAGTAACTGTGATATTCACAGCTGCATGATGATGTTGTTAACAGATGTTGTTGCGCTTATTATACAGCTGCTTTGTTGTTGATGATTTACTACCAAGTACTTTGCTCATCATGAACTATTCTCCCTTCCTATTTTGAAACTGAAAATATAAAGGAAAGAAAACATGGGTTTATGGAATAGCTATTAGCATGGAAAATGTGAATATGTGATTTGATGAGCTTGGTATGTTGGAAGGTGACAACATTTTGCTTTCATTTCTTAATATTGCATGTGAACATGCTTTGTTTATCAGATATTTCCTCCGTGTGACGATAGTTAAAAGAATTAGTGACATTGTGAAAGATAGTGATGTCATAGTCCATACGCTGGCTCACTACCCAGATATGAACAATAGCATTAAGATGGAGGTCGGCATTGAAGACTGTCTACATATAGAATTTGAATACAACAAGTCTAAGTAAGTTTTACAGCATAAATGGGTATTAAAGCTTGGATCAGAAATGTAGGGTGACACAAAAAAATTAAGCTGTAATTTTAAACAGTTTTCTCAATTATGATAGAATCTTCATATTAAATATGCTTTGTGGAGATAGATGTGCAATTAGTGTGAGGATTCAATCTTAATTGAGAAAGTTGTTCCAAAATTTGAGGTCACCCTATATTAGAAGTCAATATGATCCATGATATCTTATCAAATCATAAAGTTATCAAAATGCAGAAAAGGTCACTTCCATATCTTATTCTCCCTTTAATGTGTTGAGTAAAAATGGTCAGTTGGGACAATGGTAAGACTCTTTTTACTTTCTGATTGAAAGATTGATTATAGAGAAGCCCTATTTGTAAAGAAGGCGATTGGCAAGCTATCTAACACATATTTGAGTAATGAAATATTTTGAGTTACTATTGTTAATGAAAAAATAAATAATGGGAAGATCTCAAACTGAGGCAATTGTTAGAGAGCTCAGAACCCATTATTGTTTTGAATTATAATTTCTATGTCACCACCAAGAAGTGGAGACATTATAGTTAAGGCCTTCATCCTTTCATGTGACTGGTGTAAGGAGATTGGCATTCAGCATTTATGGTCCGTGGTGTCATCTTATAACCATTTGAAGGTGGTGACATTTTGTCATGTTAATATCTTGTGTTGTTGCTGGAGGCGCTTAACAATTTGATATGGTGTGACATGGATATAATTTGACTATTTTAATGTGGCTTTAGCATGTTATTAGATTTATAGCCAAACTGCCTGTAGAGATATTGTGATGTGCTTAATGTTTTACTTTGGAATAATTCTTTCTAGAAAACCATACATGTTGCGCATGTCATGTGGTATGGACGCATTTATTCCTCATTTTCTAGGGGGTGCTGGAATCAAAATAAAGTTTTGCGATTGGAGTTAAATCAAGCTCTTTAGCTCTTTGAGGACCTGCATCCCAAACATGACAATAATTGATGTGTCTAGAGTTTTCATAAGATCTCATGTTGGCCTCTGATTTAAACATTTTTATAGAGAAAATAACATTACATGAAATACTTTAAGTTGTACAATTAACTTTGTTAGATAATGAAATAATTGTTTACAATGTTTGTCTAACATTTCAAATGTTCGGTTACTAAAATCATTGATTTTTATATACACTACCATATTTAGGAATTAAACGTCATATTGTTTTTTAATTGTTAATTTTGTTTCTTCTGCAGATATCATATCCAAGATGTTATCGTGGGAAAGATTTATTTTTTACTCGTTAGGATAAAGATACAGTACATGGAACTAGCGATTGTTAAACGAGAAATAACTGGAGCAGGTAGTGCCACCTGGAGGATGCTTGAATCTGTTGTTTGTCTAGATATGTTGTAAAATATGAAGCATAAAATAGAAAAATGGTAGAAATTCTTGATCCCGTAATTAAAGAAAAGGTTACGGAGGATTGTTCTTGAGTGACTGCTTACTAAGAGCACTCCTCTAGCATAATCGAATACATAGATTTACAGCTTTGCCCTGTTTCATTCACACATTGAGGAATCACATGTTAAAGTTCATGATTGAAGGCTCAGATTGATGAAAAATGAAATTTAACTCCCATCTTCCACTGCCAAATCCTCTATTTTATGCTGGAACTTTTTTGTTGCATTTTGACAATTTTTCAGTTTTCCAGTTTTATAGGAGTACTCAGAACTTTATGTCCAGTTCATATACTCATATATGATACTGTGGATCATTTGGGGATTTGATTGGAGAAAAAAAGAAATAATTGACACGACTTTTTCAATCAAATACCCTTAATATGAATCATTTATGTGTTGATGATTCTGTGATCATTTCATCAGGAATGGAATACAGTATTTGTGCACAAATTATATCATGTTTTCATGGTCCAAGGGGTTATGAAATCACTGATTAAAACTGGAATAGGCTGGAAAAAGAAACAATAATGAAACATGTTGCATGTAAAATACAAGGGATTTTATCCTATTGGCTATTTTATTGAAAAACAAGTGGTTGGATTTTGTTCACAGATTCATCAAAGTTTCCCCTGGAAAGAAAATTTTGTCGCTTTTATGTATTTTCATTTATTTATTCTTTTATTTCTGCGTACTTTTAGGTATCATTTGAAAGATGTAATAGTGGGAAAAATATACTTTCTGCTTGTGCGAATCAAGATAAAACATATGGAAATACAAATTATAAAGAGGGAAACTACTGGATCAGGTCAGTCGAATAGATAACTATGCAACACATGGATAGCATGGGCACACATATATTACATGGGAACACATACAATAGCTTACCAGGGTCTTTTTTCAAGCATTCTATAGGCTAGAACGTAGATTTTTGAAGAGATTTCTGATAATTCAAATACCACTTATCACGTCTCTCAATTTTCCTTTTATATTAACTCCTTAATGGGTTTATTGATTTTGAATGGTTATCCTTATTCTGACTTTCCTCTAAGAATTTATTTCTATCCCATTTCAGACTTGTAATCTCTAAAATATAAGAAAACAGTGACACTTCTGTTTAAAAGATGCAAACACATATCTTTTTCTCATTTAGCACTAAAATCCCCAAGTTATGGTTTTTAGATATATATTTATTGGACAATCAGAAAACAATGTTTAAGCAAAATTTATATATTTTATGGTTCTAAACAATGCCCATGTAAATTGTGACTCACATATTTCTTTAGGGAAGGCTTGTAACAGCATTATACATGGTAAAATCAACATTATTATGCCTAATTCAATGTTGCATGAGTTTTATGTTTCATGTTCTTTTAATGTTTTAATTCAGATTTTCATAGTATAATTTATAAATGTTATAATTTTTTAGTTTATGTTTCTGAACTCTACTCTGATCGTATACATGTACAGGTTTGATCTAACTTTTTATTCAAATATTTTTGCATGATTGAGAAGAAATTCACTAATGATTGTATTTGATATCATATGAGTTCATATATCTTAAGATATATTCCAACTCTGATCTGAAAGTAATGCACATGTATTTGGAAGTACTACACCAAGCAACTTTATAAAACACAAATATCATCAAACCTTATGATATTTAATTTTAAGATGTTATTTGATTTTTTAAAATGCTTAATATGTAGTCAAATACATACACAATATCCATACATTTGAGAAAGGCCCATTTGTAATAAAGTTGTCATAAATGCTGTTTCAACCTAGAAAGAGCATCATAAACTCAATCAATGAATAGATTGCTCTATTACTTGTTTCAGGTCCAAACACCTTCAATGAAAATGAAACCATTGCCAAGTATGAAATAATGGATGGTGCTCCAGTTCGAGGTATATATTTTAATTTATATTGTTATCTGCAAAACAAAACTGTTACATAGACAAATAATTGTGCAACACAAAAAATGATGTTGCATATTATCATTTATCCTATGCCAAGTAGAGTTTTAGGGAGATAATTTGGTAAGATATATCCCGTATCCTGATTTTGAGGTTTCCATATCCAGAACCTCCATATCTCCCGCTTCGGTGCATATCTTCCCGCTTCCGGTGCATATCTTCCCGTTTCCGGTAATGCAATAAAATGACTTTGCATATGAATGATTTGGTTATTTTTACACCTTGTACTATTGAATTGGCCATATGCCCCTGAAAACTCTACTTGGTATAGGATAAAGCAGTTATGTACGGTCGGTTTGGATATTGGGTTCATCCCTCGTGAGATATGCACATCTACCTTCAGTCCCTACGGTCCCTCAGGTAGATATGCATATCTCCCTCTGGATAAACCCCATATCCAAAACCTCCCAGTACATAACCCTTATTTATCTCATATTTGAGATATGAATATATCCCTCAGGATGTACCCCATCCAAAACTTCCCAGTATATAACCCTTATATATATTTATTGGGATATAATAAAAAAGTTAAAAAAAACATGATATTGAATATGTACAGTGGCAAAAATTTAGCGCTAACAACAGTTGACGCACTGATCATTTTAAGAGTGCTATTTAAAAAGTGCAAGCCAAAAAAGTGATTAATAATTAAATGATAAATATGAAATGATTTCCAGGTGAATCAATCCCAATCAGGCTGTTCCTTAGTGGCTATGAGCTCACTCCCTCAATGAGAGATATCAACAAGAAGTTTTCAGTGAGATATTACCTTAACCTGGTCCTGGTGGATGAGGAGGAAAGACGTTACTTTAAACAGCAGGTAAAATGTCATGCCCTTATAAGGGGTATGGGACATCAAAGGAGCTGTGTCAAAATATCATTATGTAGTTTTTCCACTGAAATATTTTAGAAATGAAAAAAATCATTGAAAATATGTCAGAGATGGAGAGAGAAGAGCTTATTACTTTGTTTAAAAATCATATTGATATTTTGATGTGGGTCTGTATGGCAAATGAGGGGTCTACATTTTGTTTTCATTGATTAACCACTGAATAAGTGAAGGTGGTTCACATTGGACGAATTTGGAAAACTAAATTAGTCTGATTAGTATACTCATACCACTAAACCTGTCTGAAGGACAGCATACATCTGAAATGGCTCATTTTTCGCTGTTGTCCAAAATTCCCAGGTCTGTTCTACTAGCCTCATTAACACAATTTCAGATTAAAGTGTTATAGGCCTATCTCAGGCAATTTAGATATTGGATTGGATTTAGGTGAAAGTTCTTTTGGGGTGTTACACAAAACACTTTCATCTGTCTGTGTGGTTATAATACTGCAATAGGAAAATGCACAAAATGTAGACCCCTGTGTGCCCTTTAAAGGTGGAGTTATATATACTTGGCTTGAATTAAATTATAAATGATTATAAGAATAACTTAAAATTTAAAATGCTTTACTAGTAATTAATACTTAATTGTTTGTAAGTAATCTTAGTGGAATGTTACTAGTCTTGATTAGATAATTATTATTAATTAATGAGTTCATCATCACTATGGGGTTTCTGTGTCCATAACTACGTATATTATCATAACAGCTTTTTTGTCATTCATTTTGTTGCTGTAATGGTTGTTCTGGACCCAGTAACAGCACAGTGATCATATCAATATTTTTATTAACATCTCTGATATTTGCATGTCTTATCTCATTCTGTCTAAGTTTTTCCTCTTTATCATATTCAAAAGAGACTTCTTCATATTTTAAGTTGTTGCCTGAAAACATTCAAAAGGCTCAATTTAGGATCCTTCATGAAGATAACCCTAAAGAATGAGCTAAAGCATTTTGATTGAACATCTGTACTTAAACATGTACTGTATTTATATGTACATTCAGTGATCTCCTCAGTGTAGTCCCTACTAATGGGGTTTCCAAATTTTCAAATGGGTTTTCCAAATTTCAACTGAGTTTTCATATTCTCAACTGGGTTTTTCTAATCCTCAAACCAACCTTACAGGTTTTCAACTGAGTTTTTAAATTCCCAACTAACATTCGATATTTTAAAGTGGGTTTTCAAATGGCCTATATATGTATTTGGGAGATCACTGATCTGTATATTTGTATGTGGAGAGGTCTTAGTTATTGCTGCTTCATGGTTGTTTGGACCTTAATTAAGGGTGAGTGTATATCTTTACTAATCAACAAAGCAAACTGTATGCAAAACATTAAGGTGGTCATGTGCTTTAGAATGAGAGTGCAGAAGAGAAAAATTTCAAAGAACTGTGTGGGGGAAATTGTGCAAATTGTCATCAATACTCTGAATCATTTGGAAATTAAAATATTATTTACAAACTTTCAACTTGTATTTCAATTTCTCAACATTTTTTTCCAATTCTCAACATTGTTTTTAAATCTTTAATTGAAATTTGAAATGATTGATGTTCAAATAATTTGGAGAACTTGTTTAGAAGCCTGACCACAGTGATATTTTATGAACAGTTTGTATAAATATATGGTTACTTGACTTTACTAAAGACAGAAGGAGAAAAACATTTGAAATAAAAAATACAATCCCTCTCTAATCCAGGCAAATATATCCAACCAAAAAAAAAAGACTTTAACATCCTTTCGTAATGGCATGCTAACTTGTTGCATAGATATATTTGCAAATCACTAATTTTACCTAATGGAAGCCTATGGGCATTAATTTGTTAATTCTAACTTTGCCTAATGATTCCCAATACTTAACACTTTTGTGTAATAGCATGTTTTATTGGAGTATTTTTCACAGTTATGCCTAAAGAACTTATATAGAGCATAATTAATTTCCTAAATTGGTATAGGTTTAATAAAAAAGTGAAGTACAAAATAAACTTGTAATCATGATATCTGTCTATGATTTTGATTTTCTGAAATATATTATTTCTGTATAGCAAAAAGATGATTCTAATTATTCAATGGATTATTAGTGCTCTATCAAGTCCCTAAACCCCCATGGCCATACTATCTATTTCCACTTTGTTAATGTTACATAGGGACAAGATACTGTGCTTAATAAATATATTCGGGTGTAATATAGGAATTTTCTCCATTTCAGGAGATCACATTATTCCGTAGAGCAGACAGGAAGAAAGGACACCCAGATAACACATCAAAAGTCACTCCAGGGACTCAGAAGCTAGGGGATAGTACTCAATAACCCAGTGTAAATGGATAAATCAATAAATAATGGAGTGTAGACCTAACTGGAGAACTGAATATGAAGCAGACTTCCATAAAAACTGCTTAAAATCCAGGATGAAAGATGGCACCATGGTGTCATTATTTCCCATAATGCATTGGTGATATTTGAGGGAAGGCAGACAGGAATCCGTCTGCAACTGGAAATATGTTGCCACTTATGGTGTAAATCCATTCATGTAATATTATTATTACTTTGTTTAAAATTTCCAGGAAATTACTATCTTTCGACGAGCAGAAAAGCGGGCAACTAAAGGCCAATCACAAGGCCTCAAGCAATTCAAACCGACGCAGCAACCAGAGCCTGAACAAACCAAGGAAAATGGCGAGGAGGATTGAAGAATAAAATAATGCTAGGCTTATGTGAATATTTGACTGAAAGATGATGATAAATTAAATTATTGTTATTATGGTATGTTATATACATGTATAGATCATGACTGATACACTGAACTGTCAGGTCACACATATAAGAAACCTTGTGATACCATGGAGATCATTGCAACATAAATTCTATTTTATCATTCAGACTGTAAACATCAAGGTTTCTTTATATGTACTATTGCAGTTAATGACATTTTGAAATCACAATGCAAAGGTAAATTCCATCATAAATGTATGTTAAGCCATACAATTAGAAGTAGATTCTTTGTTTTCTGTCCCCATGCGTGTATGATTTATTGAGAGTAGATCAGGACAAAGAAACACATCCAAGTATCATTAATATGAAACCATCTTGATCTAAAATCTGCTTAATTGAATAGTTTCATTACAATCAGTGTAAACCAGAAATTCTGCACAAAAATGTACCATTCCTTTTTATTGCCAGAAATCATATACATTTGAGTTAGTGTTTTTTTTCATGTACCCTTGCATGATTGAATTAGCCAGGACGTAAAACATGGTATCTACTTCTTATGGCCGTAGTTTCAATTTATTAAACATAAAATTTTCCATTTACTTTTATAGTCTTTATATGCCATCTTAGATTTCTACAGTTGCTGTTGTAATTCACTATTCCTGTATTGCTTACTCAGCACAATTGTCATTTTCATTATTTTGCATTATTTTCAATAAACCACTGTGATAAAGTGTATAAATGGGAGGTTACAAAATGCAATAATTGTCACACAGTTTCATTTGTATTCTGTATTTTTTTATCACTGTATGGTCTCTTGCATAATATGGCTCAATAAAAGATATGTTTGGAAAAGTTTTGGACAATTGGGAAGATTTAATGCTTGTTTGTGTCATGGATTGAAAATGAGAAGATTCAGTCATATTTGATGATTTCATTTTTAAAAGTGGTCCTTCAGTCCCTTGGATAATATCCATCTATTTTGGTATTTGAGACATGCATGATATTTCAAAAGATTACTTTTTTCTAGTACTCTGTTCATAATTGTAGCTTTCTTATCATAAATACCCAAGAGAAATGATTTGAAATTGAAAAAGTGGAATGAGCAAGGAATGTAGTAAACATGCATGTATTCAATGCACAAGGTTGAGGAAATCGTGGATAGTGCTTTATTCAACTTTTCTCCCAACCAATCATGTTCATATCATTACTCAGATTGTAATATTCATAAACTGACTGCACATTTTAGCTCATCTAATCTAAATAATATAGTAGTGTTCAAAATGTTTAGTGAGTACATGTATAAATAAACTGTAGATGTTCCATTTCATATTTAAAAATTTATCATTTTCAAAAATAATTTGTTCTCGATTTATATATATAATTTAGGCTTTTATGAACAAAAAGGAACATTTTCCTTTTGATTTTTCACAATATTGACCATGAAGAAACTAGTTTAGAATTATTCAAGAAATGACTACCAATGGTGTATCTAACCTCTGAGTAGACTCAGTCTTCATAGATTTAAAAAAAGTCAGATAAAAAATATTTTGTCCTTCCTAAGAATTTTGAACTAAATAACAAATTGAATTGAATTGAATTTCTTTAGTTCATGACATGTGTATCAGTATTCAATTGATGTAGATGTTTATTGTTATGATATAACAGAGGACAGGTGCAATTTAAAGGTTGTATATAGTTTTAACACATTACTACAATTGATGAATATATTACTCTTAAGAAATTACTCAACTGTACATCAGTCAAAAATTGATCATTGGAGTTTAGAAGTAAATAGATTGTTAAATAGAGGCCCCATGCAATAGAGGATCATTTCAGCTATCATCTCTTGATGTTATAGGCCATACATTTTGTAAAATTAGGGAATTGTATTATTTCCTTGAATTTCTGAAATAACAATGTAGTTACAATTGAATTGAGTTCAAACCCACTGAGAGAAGAAAGGTGTTAACCCTTATCAAACTATATGTAGTTGGGCATTATTGCAACAATTTTGTAATTTGTTTTTAAAACACTTGAACATTCAAACAGGCTTTCATTTGATATATAATACATGTACTAGTGAACTGATATTCATTTACCATCTCAATTGGTAGTGAACAATTTAAGATATATAAATAAGATAAGGGTTAACATTTATGAACTATAATACTGTTATATATAAATCACCTCATTCCAAATAAATAACATTTTTTGTAACCCCAATCCTGTATAACACCTAATGTGATTACCTATCTATTATTTACTTCAAGATATGTTGTTTCAATTGTAAAAAGCCAACCAGGTATCATAAAGTTACAGATGCGAAAGTGAATTGTCTGTTTTAGAACAAATGGTTTCACAAGCTGTAACCTGATGATATTTGGAATAACTGATCAAGATTTAATCTGACTCCAATCCTCTGGACTGGTCCCTACCCAAGCAAGCTATTTTATCAGCCATGTGTTTAACTTGTGGAGCACTGATGTTTAAACTTTCTGTTCCAAGTGGATTGGACTTGAGGATTCCTGTTGTTTCACAATTAGCCTAGACTAATGTAAATATATGAACACCTGTACATTATAAAGTGAACTCACAGGGACATGCATGCTAATTGTGGCATTTGCACAAGAAATGCTGTTTTGTAAAATAAATACAATGTAATTATGATATAAATATGATATATATATAAATATGAAAAAATACAAAAATGTTCTGTGAATGTTTTATGAGTACCTAAGCAATAGTCAGATGATCATGTTTTGTTTTTATGTATTTTTTCTCAATCATACTTAATTATGTCACCACCAAAACAAAAAAATCCTTTAAGGTTAACACCAAAATGTTTGTATTTGTATATCCATCTTTTTGATTAAGTATGATATGCCTTCAAGCCCATCAGAAGGGGGGGGGGGGGCATTGGTGGCGACCGCCAGAAATTTTTTAGAGAGATTTGTATTTCATGGTGTAAATATGGCTCTCAGACATGCTCAGGGTATTGGGAGGGTCTAAATTTCATAATGTTCACACTGAATTTTACCCTCTAACCTGAATAAAACCCAGAAAATCATCAAAGAAACAACAAGAATTATTTTAATCAGCCCGGGAAAAAAAATTGAACAATTCTGAAAAATTGACCGTGAATGTTCAATGGTTATCAAATTCTGCCCCTTGCCAAAAGTATCTCTCCTTTTTGACTTAGTTATTTTCCTCATTTTTTCAGTGATGTACATTTTCTCTAGAATATTTCACCTCTGATTCCTTAGAGGTCAAAGATTCATGTCCTAGTGAACAAATACTCATCAATCAAGGATTAAGGAAGGTAGTAAATAATTTGAAATTTAATTTCCTGGCAAATTATTTTTTGGACAAGGCCAAAAAATATGAGTTACGATATATGACAATTTTGGTTAATCATATCCTATATTATATACAGTTTGTCGTTGGTCATCTAAAGGCACATGTGTTCAGAACCAATTGTAAGCTTACAAATGATTATTTTTTCCCAGATATTTTGTTTCAAATGTAAAATATCAGTGTTAAACAATTGTTGTCTACATTGAAGTACAAGTGCCTCTGAAAACCTGAGAAAGAACGATTGATTCCATGATCTGTAACCTTGTGATGTTTGGAGAAGCTGGCGTCATATGACACGCTCAGTGAACTTCACAATATTCACAAGGGAAGGATTCATGAGGGCAGGATAGCATTGATTCTCAGTAACCTAAGATGGCCGAGTAAAATTCCGATTCATCTTTAAAAACTGGGTACACCTTACGAAAACCGCAAGGCAAACGTAATTAAAGTAAACCTTTTATTTCATTAACAAGATACTTTTTTAAAGGAACCAAACTTTCATTTGTACAATTACAATATTGAGAGACCTAAACATGCTGTGTATATGTCATTTTGTTTCGACGAGGTTGGGATGGATGTTTCATTCCAAACATGATACCAAGAAAAAAAGTGTCTGATTTCTAAAACAATATAGAGAAAAGAATATCTATATTTTTCAAATTAAATTGTTACCATTCAAATGATGATAATTAAATTGATGATGTGTAAATTTTTCAGAATTTTTTGATGACTGGTTTAAGAGGAACATGTGTTCAATTCAGTTTGCTACATCAGTACCAATCCTTTACCGATTTCAGGAACTACGGTCAACGTAGAGCAAATGTTGACGCAGAGCAAATGTGTCTGAGGTTTAAGCCTGTACTTTAAAAGTGAATATTTTAAAATAACAAAAATGTTCTGTGTATGTTATACAACAGTCACATTAGATTTTATTTTATGTATTCTTTTTATTACTCCATCATTATACATAATTTACAAAATGGCAGATATTATCGGGGATGTTATTTCTATTTATAGCAATTAGAGATTATCCATAATTCAACTCCTTTCACTGATAAAAATATCACCTTTTATATTCGTCAACAGAAAACAATAGCCTATATTCAAACAATAGCCATACATATTAACACCTATTCCTCAGAATATTGGCTCATTTGTCCATTTTAGAGAACGATGTGGATGTTACCTAAGAAATAAACAATGTCTGATTTAAGCCAATTTGTTAAGCCAATTTTGGTCCAAAAATGGCCAAAATCACTAGAAGGTGCTCAGAATGGTGAAAACTGCATGTTCTTGCATGCTCTTGTATCAGCCTCCACAAGAATGATGTGACAACTAGGAACTGGTCTGTGATTGGCCAGTTTGTTCTAGTTTGTTCTCTAGGCCTACATTGTGTTGCATGTTTTAGGTTTAAAGACATTTTGGGCAGAAACAACCTCAATTTCTTTTCTACAATTTACTATAAATCTCGACAATATTGGAAATAATAAAAAAGTCAAAGGACGATTCTCGGTTTGGAGAACAAAGTTCATCAATCAAAATGAGCATTATCCCTGCTTCGGACTTTGATTTTTTTTACATAATATAGATTTGAATGTCTTCTTTTGAATAGTCATAATTTAATTTGGGTAATATTTCTAGATTTTTCGCAAAAAAATATTAGTGCAGTACACTGATGAACTTCTTTCCCCAAATCGAGGCTTGTATTTTATTGAATCGGTCTAATTGAGCGTTATCCCTGCTTCAGACCAATTTGTTATTTTTACATCTTGTAGATTTAAATGTCCTCTTATGAATATTCATAGTTTAATTTGGGTATTATTTCTATATTTTTCATGAAAGAAATTATTAGACCAGAAGACTGTTCTCCAAACCGAGAATAGTCCTTTCACCAATGTAATAAATAAAAAAAACTTGGCACCTTTTAATGTATTACAAAATAATGTACAAAGAGTATGAGGATGGTAAAAATATTTTACCATAAGGTGTTAAAATATTTAATAAATATACTGATTCAAACCTTCAAGCAAGAAAACATTCACTGTCCATTTACTACTAAGTGTGATATATATACATTTCACAAAAATAATTTACAGTTTTGTACATAAAATAATAATATATCAACATTCTTCAACAAAGCCTCTGTGACTGATTAATAAAATATTGTTATGAATTGAAAAGTAAACTTGTTGAGACTTGGGGATATAAGGCAATAACAACATACATATTAGCATTTGCATATGTAAGTTCAACATAAAATAATTTGCATTTGTACAATATTTTACATGAAAATAAATAACATTTGGCAGGAGGCTTCATCAGGATAAAAAATACATTGAAGCTTTCAGATCACGATTTCTCTAATTCAATGACTTAACTAAGCACCCTGAATCAGAGAAGCAACAAAGTCTAATATTGCATCTTCCTAAGCTTATTCAATATACCAATCTCCCAGCATTTCATTCAGTATGTTCCTTCTTCCTCTCTACAGGCACTTATTTGAGTTTTACCATGAATCACTGGTTTGAAATGAAGAGATTTCCTTGATGACACTATTTCTTATTCACAATGTGTTACTCATCCCATTTTATTGATTAATTGCCTTGAAATGACAATATTTAGAGTAATGAAGAGATAAAGGAAATTTTGTATCTAGAACAACCAGGGAATTAAATATCTGCAGAGGGGAGGAGCAAAGAAAGAACAGGCTGAAAGAAAACAGGAGACTGCCACGATACATAGAACAGGTCATCATGACCTGAGTCAAGGTCACCCAGTCAGAGGGTGAAGGTCAACTCTAACTCTTTCATCTCCACTTAGCATTCCAACCGTTGGGTAGAAGCCGCCTTTTGGAATTCGGATCTCACGCCTTCCAATTGTTTTTCCATTTCGCGTAAAAAATACCTGAAATAAAAGATTGATTTGTGAAATATTTAACACGTTTGCTGGAATAAAATTTTTAGACACTACTTTTATGCCATGAGCTTACTCTGCTTTAGTTCCAGTCTCTGACTTTCCTCTACTTCACTGCTAGTCTCTGATTAACCTGTACTTAAGTGACAGTCTCAATATTATTAACTCTTTAGTCAATTACACTAACTTATACTTAATTAATCAACTTCTCCATACTTCAGTGCCAGTCTCTCAAAGGTTCATTAATGCCCTTAACTTAAGTGCCAGTCTCTGTGTTAAGTTCTGATTTACATGTACTTAAGTGCCAGGATGTCTGCATATCATCTGTGACCTACCTGCACTTTTGTGTCAGCCTCTGCATTAAGTTTCTGACTTAACTGAACTTTAGAGCCAGTCTCCACAAGGTTTCTAAAATACCTTAATCTTAGTGCTAGTACCTGCATTAGGTCTGTAAGTATCCTTCACCTTAGTGCCAGTCTCTGTATTAGGTCTCCAATTTACCTGTACTTTAGTGCCAATCTCTACATTAGGTCTCCAACTTACCTGTACTTTTGTGCCAATCTCTACATTAGGTCTCCAACATACCTGTACTTTAGTGCCAATCTCTACATTAGGTCTCCAACATACCTGTACTTTAGTGCCAATCTCTACATTAGGTCTCCAACTTACCTGTACTTTAGTACCAATCTCTACATTAGGTCTCCAACATACTTGTACTTTAGTGCCAATCTCTACATTAGGTCTCCAACTAACCTGTACTTTAGTGCCAATCTCTACATTAGGTCTCCAAAATACCTGTATTTTAGTGCCAATCTCTACATTAGGTCTCCAACTTACCTGTACTTTAGGGCCAATCTCTACATTAGGTCTCCAACTTACCTGTACTTTAGGGCCAATCTCTACATTAGGTCCCCAACTTACCTGTACTTTAGTGCCAGTCTCTGCATTTGGTTTTTCCCACCAGTCTTCCTCCTCCTCAGAATCAGAGCTATGGTAATCTGACTCCAGGTTCAGCAGCTCATCTATTTTATCCTCAGCATCTGGGGAAACATCTGGAGATATGTCTGAGTCTTCCTCACTGTTGTAGTCTCTTGGGAAGAGTATACCACATCCCATGATGTCTCCTGTAATAAAGTGGGAACACTTGTACATTAAGAGAACACATTGTTTATTTACAGAACAAATGTATATAAACATTGAAGGAGATTGCCAGTAAGATGTATTGAGGATGTACAAAATTGTATGTTGAAGGTAAAATTAGTACTACACAGTGTACTTGGGCTACTGTTTATATTAAAACATTCAAGTTGGAGAAATGCATGTTGTGCTCCGATGGTATTGAAATCTTTTGGTTTTGACTAAATGCCAATTGTAAACAGTAATATGTTTTTCAAAGTAAATAAATTCTATATATGCAAAATGTAAGAATCAATAATATGACCACAGAACCAAAACAAACAAACAAACAAACCATGCTAACAGTGTTGAACAATACCAGCCCTAGTATAAAAAATTATTCAATGTCTATTCTCATCAATCTAAAATAAAAATCTTGCACAGACCTGCCTCTCAGAAGGTAACTCATATGTTACAGTTCACCCCAGAAATTTCCTCACCTTTTAAACACTTGGGTCCAAATGGTTCTCCGATTCCACTCCCCAGGAAGAGTTTGCCATCATCGGCATGGTAAGCAACAGAACCTTTGTTCCAGCCTGGGTGACGATACTTGGGATAGTCCTAGAAATAAACATTTTAAACAGCATATGAGAATGGTGATTCATCATATAGCTCTTCAGTTTCCAAAACATTGATTTATGTGTGAATATTTCTACATTAAAACTCCACAAAAATTTGAAATTACTCTTTTTTCAACCCCTCATACATGTCATGGGTCAACAGAGAACAGGCAAAAAAAACTTATAATATGAGTTAAATTGGTGTATTTATGTGTATTTTACCATGTCGTACATTTACACACATTTCCTTTGGTTTGAAAGGAAACACTAGTTTTTGGACTGATTAATAGGATTTCACCATATCCCTACTGATCTTCAATAGGATAATGAGGAAACTCATGGAACAAATGAAGAGGGCCTTGAACCACAAAGGATATCTACTGGAAGAGTGTTGCAGATAGCTGAAACGCTTGCTAGAAGCCTTGCTAGTTTACACTTGCTTATGTTATAAATTGTTGAAAGAATATTATATAATGTTATATGCATTATACTTATTCTATTATGCAAACCATGACAACTTAAACTAATATTGCCTCTGTATCTACATCCCCCACTGATATCTATACCAAAACTCTCAGGAATTTCTTGAACATAATATACCCCTGTAGTGTACCCCTGCACAAATGACTGGATGTATTTTATGGTCATTATGCCATATAAGTGGAGGAGAGAAAGAAATTTTTAAGTTACATAAGATGCATCAATAAATTACAATACCCACCCTTCGCGCTACTCCAATTGCGATGTAACAGTTTTCTCCTGGATCTATGACTTCTATTTCATAGTAGTGATTAGTTGTGTCTAGTGCGTATCTGGCTTGAGCTAGTCCCACATCTATAATACTCTTACCACGACCTGTATACTCAAGGACCTAAAAGGAAACATACATTTCTTGAAATCATAATTTACAACTGACCTTTAACAACTGATTTTTACAACTGACCTTTAATGCAACAGTGACCTTTATAATCTGTGAGCTTCAAATCACTTAAGGCTGGCATTAACAAAGTACATGTATGACCTACATAAAGGTGTTATGCCTTAAAATCTGTTTAAGTCAGTCATTTCATTGTTATAATATATGCCTATAAGTAAAAAGTATATTCTTCACACTTCAAGCAGTTAAAGCTTTTGCAAACTTTAATTTTGATTTCAATATTGATTAACATTAAGCTGTACTTATCAACATATTGAGCAATACATATATCAAACAAAAAATAATTAAAAATGAAAAACTACATTCATTTGATAATACTAATCCTATATATCAAATGAAACCAATAAATTTATATTTTATGTTGATTTAAATAGAAAACGATAACCTTGAAATGAGTTGATACATGTACATGATCTTATAACAAGCAATTACTCAACCATAATATTAAGATAATAATCAATATCACAAATTGAAGATGAGCAAACATATCTACAATAGAAAACATCAAAATACAATAAACTAGATTTATATCAACATTTGAGATTACCGAGTACAAATACGTCATGCAGTTTTATAATTATCTGACTGTCATCTTCCATTCAGCATTAGGTAGGGATATTGACTTTTAAGCATAATATTATCATCCTTGACAGATGATATAATCACAAGACATTGACAAGAAATGATTTTATTTATTAAGAAGTGGTCGCTTGGCTTAAGTGTTACAAAGGATGTCATTTTCATGTTTGTTAAAATGGAAAAGAAGATAAGAAAATACTGTTAATGAAAGGTGAAATTCAATTCTTAAATAGGATACCAACTCATTTATTTGAGATTTGAGATAATTTGGAGGAGAGGGGGGGGGACAGACATTCTTTAACCAATTCTTAACTTTTTGAATTGAAATTATATTTTTATTAGATTGTCACATTTTTATTTCAGATTCCCAGCTGGCATATAAAGCAGCAAGATCACTATCAGCAATCGGTGAATCAAGCATAATCCAAAAGACAATATCAGCTGACACATTTATAGGACAAAATCTAAGGTAGTTCAACATCAAGAAGGATAAGCACGATTTTATTAATTCAGGAAAAATAATCTCAGGAATTAAACAACAATTAAGCAACAATTTCCAAAACACAATCTCTAACAATTCAATCGAAACTTTGTGAAAAACAACTTCCAAAACACAAATTAAAACAAAATCACAACAGACAAACAACTGGTTGCAATGAGGAGTGGCATAGCAAGATTATCTACATTGATTGCCTTTATAGTTCTGCAGAAGGCAATGTATGGTAAGAATGGTTTCAATTTGGCATACATGTAGGTCAGGATACTATGATCAGTCAAAAGATAAAATTACAATAAACAAAATAAATTAAATTTTGACAAACATTAAATTCAAATTTAAAAAATATTTTACCAATCATATGAACATTTTGAAATAGTGACTTTTTGATTCAATGGTGACTTTTAATTCAACAGACATCATAAAAACATCTGAGTTATACTATTTCAGGCACAGCTGAATTAAATCTGCAGATGTGTAGCAAAGAGGAAATGTCACAGCTGACAAAAAGCATAAAGGATGACATAAAGGAAAAAATCAAATCTTCCTTTTGTGAATTAAAGTTTGATTTAAAAGCTGAATTTGAAGATCTAAAGGATGAAATGATATTTACAGTTGCTAAGAAATTGAAAGATGCCACTAGAGCTCAGGAAAATAATTCACCATGTACAGATGAAGATGAAGACATTATTTCATAACATACAGCTTGGCACTTGATTACATAATTGACCCCAGGGATTCATTCATTGATTGTATACTGGTCATAGTTTAACAGTGATCATAGACTTTAATATCAACATGTTCCATTACTGTTTGACATTGAGCCAAACAGCATCATACCATAAAGCCTACCCACATCAGCACTCCGAAATAGGCACAAATGAAACCAGTTGAGATAGCAATGATTATGTAATTTATTATTATGGGACAAATTACAAAATAAGTGTTTATCTATGAGGAAAAGCCGTTCAACAACCAAAGGGAAAGTAGTTCACCATTAGCACGCACACCAGATAGGAGAAATTATCCAACCATTGCTATATCAAAAATTTGTGTCCTAATTAGGATATATTCAATACCAAAATTTGTCAATTAATTTGGCTGTTTTATTTGGAGGAGACGCAAAATTGTCCACCAAATTAAGTAGTCGCCAAATTCAACATTTCATATTTCAATCGTAAGTATGTATAGAATACATTTCAATATTGCAATTCCGCCAAATTAAGTAGCCGCCAAATGTTCAAAACAACAAATCCGCCAAAGATAGTAGAGCCAAATTAAGTAGAAGAACAGAATACTATACTCTGTCGCCATATCAAAAATGTTGAGAGGTAAGACACATGAGGTTGGGATACCCATCAGATTTGTTTGTATTGAACTCAGGGGCCACAAACAAGATAAACCCCTGGTCTTGAAACAGACTGAACTTGAAGCGAATGTACTGATCCTTATAAGTAATTTTGGCTAGAACTGATTTATCAATCATTGGAAATCTTAATTACGCAACTTCCCCAGACATTGTTACATTATCTACTTAATGTTCTTGTTTCAGATAGTTCTTGATAATACATGTAGTTTAATGTTTTATGCCATTGTGTTTTTTCTTGAATAAAACTTTATAGTATTCAATTGATGGCTAGTGTAATTTGGAGAATGTGCTGTTGCATTGGATGTGTGAGTTATGTATTCCTGTACCTGGAGGATGATGAATTCAAACTGTAAATCAAACAAGACTCAACCCAATAGATAGATAGATGGAGAATTCACTAACTTTTGCTTGCTTTCCTGAAAAATTCTCATTTATATGGGTATTGTAGAATTTCAAAATAAATTGGCATTTTAAAAGTTTCATAAAATAGACAATTATAAAAAAGAATCAACAAATATTAGTATCTTTTTGCAGTATAATCAAATAGCTTTTGCAAATGTTAATTATCGTTTCTTCCTTATCATTTTAATTCATAGCTTTTTTATTTGCACATAAAACATAAGTTGATTTCAACAAGGCTATTGTTCATAGATGCATGGGCTTTCTCATTGAAAGCCCAGGATAGATGTCACTATGGTAGATTTAGGTATTTTGTCATTTGTCATTTTGTCACTCAATAGTCCCAAACTATACTGCTATATACATGTAAATCTTCCAGCTGGTATTAGAGATGTAACATTTAAAGCACATGACTATGCTTTCACCCAAATTTTTCCCAAGTGTGTGCAAAACCATAATGTTTATAATTCTGGCTAAAATAATGGTCAAAATATGCCAATTTTGTGATTTCCCTCATTTTTTCCAAGTTGCAAATGGGGTTTACAAGTTGGAGCATGTGAGTTTATTTTCAAAATCTCAAGTGGGTGTAGTGTCCACTTGGTTCATTGAGATTTCTGAATATTTACCTGCTTTTGTCCCAAAATAACCCATATTTGAAATACCAGAATCAAAAGGGCACATTGTTTCTCTTGTAAATACCACCTTGAATATGGTACAAGATGAAAACAGGACCCACTTACCTGTCCTCGAAGTCTAACATCGTGTAATCGTGACCACTCTTCTTCATAGTTGTCTATCGACATTGAGATGTGATCTGTGTGTTCCCATTCTGCCTCTAGGTTAAGCTTCACCTCTTCCCCTTCTGAGTGCATCCCCACTGCAGGATACAGACCATCAGGTGGCATCAACATTAATACTGTGCCAAGCTATTATAAAAAAAATTAATAATTATATAAATGAGGACTCATTTACCTCATTTGTATTACAGATATTAGAACATTTATAATATACATGTTGTATATGTTAAATTTAATCCAACTGTTGACCACAAAATAAATAAATGACTTATTATATTAAATGTATCCCAAAGAAATGAGGAATGATCCAAAAGTTCACGGTGATATTTTGTTATGCTCAGAAAATATTTATTTATTAAAGCATTGAATATACCTCCTTGCCATTCCTTGTGAAAAATACTGGTACCATTTGTCTTGGTTTGCCATGTTCTACCTGCATCTGTTCAAACTTCACTCCACACCCCACTCTGTCCCCTGCCTGGAACTTTCCCCCATAGGGACGACCATGGCCATTTGATTTAAACAATCTGAAATAAATAACTAGGGATGATTATCATGGAATACTTTAAATAAGCCTATTCTTGATATTTGCATACTTAAATTTCATTAGAAGTTGAACCATTTTATTGACTTTCTGTGCAATTCCGTTGAAATGGTGTTGACTCCTTCTTTTACTTCTCATGCGTTTCATTAACAAGAATCTAGTTCTTTTATATGAGAATGGTTATCTGTTGCAATGGTTATCTGGGCAAACATACAAGAACAATTTTCTTGCAAGTATGGAAAATGTTGCTATCAATTGTCACATGAATTATTAAAGTAGCAAGAACAGCAACCACTATAATTGTGATATAGGTTGCTATGGGAACCATGACTTACTTGCCATCGTCACCATGGTAAGCTACAGAATCTGAGTTCCAACCTGGTTGCTTAGTGAGGGGGTATCTAAGTGGACACAGTCCCACAGCTGAAACATACAAAGGGCAATGTTACTGGAGAAGCTAAAATGTCAACCAAACTACTAGCCTTAATTACTTTGTAAATATTTGACCAATATGCATACCTTATTGTATAAGAGGTGTTTAAAACATCAGAACTATATCTCTATTATGAGAAATGTATTGGACTGTTTAAGAAAACACTATTTTTGAAAACTATCTTTCCTTAAAATCATTCAAAAATACCTGAACCAAAAATTATAAAAATTATAGGGTGGGATAGCAGCTTTTTGCTCACTCTGCACATCATTATAGATTCAACAAGAACAATTAGTGACAGTTTCCATGTTTTTCCATGCAGGGGGAGACGTCAAGCCTTAAAACAATAAAAAGAAATTCAGACTTGCAACTTCCAAGACATTACACTCTCTGATTTTTGCTGTCATTTTTATTGAGTATCAAAATATTGTGTAATGTACTAACATATTGTTCCCGAGGCTCCTGTATCAATGATTTCTACTTCAAAGTAGCTGTTTTCTTTTGAGAGAGGTTGTGCTCCTATATACACGCCAACTAGGTTGCTCTCATCTGTACAATTATAACTGAAAATATATTTTATGATGATACATTAGAGCATATAACATTAATTTGAGCTTGTAACTGAAAAGTTGAAAACCTCTGCATGGACTTCTAGATGGACTTCTTTCAATTAAACTAATTCATACATAACATGCTGTTATTTGCAATAGTGAACCATGTTCTTATGATAATAGCATGCAGTTTCATCTAATGTAGTTTTTGTACTCTGACTCATATCAAGCAAGTTACATGTATCAATAAAATCATATGACACTTTGAGGCTTTACTATGGCAAGTCTTTGCTAAATTATCCTCAAATTTCAACCGGCTCTTGTGATTAAAAAGGACTCAAATTGCATAAATCATATTGATTATTTGGGCAATATATTTTGTTGAATTGGCTATTTTGTTAAAAAGGGAACTCAGAAAGACTGATTAAGACATTCATACTGACCTGAAACGCAAATTGACTACAAGAAAGGTGACAAAATATTGCAAACATTTTAAAGTTAACCAAGTGTTGTGTTATAACAGCCGAAACAAACTAAAGTATAAGATTGTCTCCATTTAATTTTTGCTACTTTATTTTTAAATAACATCCATAAGCTGTCTTGATATTACTGAATTTGCTTTGTAACGTAACATTACAATATTCATTACCTCAAAATATCTCCATCTATACTGATACGTTCGCTGTTGCTGCGTGCTTGCTGCTGCAGATCTCTAGCACCATCTATTAGGTCAACCTCATGACGAAAATCATGGTAGAAATGGCGGATATCCTGCTGTGCTTGTATACTCATAACGATTTCGTTGTATGCCTGGGCAAGATGGCGGTTGTTATGGTGCTGGCGAACTGCTCTTCTGTGACGACCACGGGCCCCCTCCATCTCATACTATAGAATTAAATAAAATATATTAAGTATAGTTGAAAATATGTGAAGCAAGTATACTTTAACCATTTCAAAATGAACTTTCCTAAAAAGTAACAAATCTTACAGAACTTAAAAAATATGTCCGAAATATGCATTTCCTACTTTCTTTCTTGAAGAAAGTCTCAAGAAAATAAATAATAAAAAAGAGCATTCAGTGCCTGTAATACTCTCCAATATATTATATATATTTGAGGATATCCTAAATATGACAGTGTACCACTCTTTTCTGACCCACCCTGCACATATGTAAATCAATTGGAACCTAATTTTGAACATTTCTTCTGTTCTATTGTCTATGAGATTAAGTAAATTAATAGTTGCGGCATCACCTGCAGTTCATTCAAGATTTGATTTAAGAAATTTGCAGCTGACAAGCTCTTCTCGGGGCATTTTAGAAGTACTATGTTTTATGTTCCAAGCAGAAGGTTACCTTTCTTATTTAGTATAGCCACCATCAGCTCATTTCTCATTAGGCCAGAGATTGGTATTCATACATGTAATTAATTCCCAGAAAAGTCAATATTTTGAAAGTCTATTTTGGTAATTTTGGTGCCAAATATACTCAACTGTACTATACATTACCTGGTGCATGTGTTGCTAACCTTAGTTTTTGAAACTTATAAATATGAATAAGTTCAGAATCTATATTAGGCATATAAAAGAGTAAAAGACTACCTCATCAGGAGGATCATCCTGTATGTCACCATTCATCTGTGCTCTCTCTATGGCAACCTGAACAACATATAGAACAACAATATGTAGCAACACAATACAATACTATATACATGTAGTACTATAAATTGTTTTAATCTGGCCCTATTTAAAATGGTAAATTGCAGTTTTGGGAATAATGGTAGATATTTATTTGGCAGATTTTTGTTATAATCTATTAAAATACAGTATGCCATTGAACACTAATTATCCAGAGATTTCAATTGTCTAAAATTAAATCTTAAACAGCCGGGATTTGTGAGTTGACAAATTAAAATAGGTGCCTAATAAAAACAATTTTCAGTAGATCAGTTGATTTACATTCACAACACAATAATTTACAAAAATGTTGATCATGATAGTGATAGCAATATAGAACAAAAATATGACTATTAAAGCATTTTGGCAAAAGAATACAATTAAAATATCAGAATACACAAACAATAGAGTATGCTATAATGTTTTCCAATATAAAAATGACTGACAATGTGTGACAATCGGCATCATCAGCATAGTCATATATAATTTGCAGATTACAATAAGCTTTTTGGGAAGGGGTACATAATCATTAGCTAAACCCAAGTCAGATTGACTCAGAAATCATAATATTGACTTGTAAGATACTTGCATATTAATATACGAGTAGAAGGGCAAATAATAAAAATATGGCATTATAACCTTGAAAACAAAAAAGATTTTTCATGAAATATTGGTAGGGGTTTAATAATTCATAAAGAATCACAATACGTATTAACATGTAAATTCTAATTTGGATGTATATCACATAAAGGTAAAATATAAATTATTCCAAAATCTGATTGCTGGTAAATAAAAATTTATCTCACTTCTTAAGATAAATTTAGGTCTATTCAGATAACTTTGGTCCTAAAACATAAGGTATGATAATAAATGAAAGTACTCTACCCCCCTTGCCTACATATCAAAATAAAGAGTAAAAATTTGACATTTACCGGCACTACATCATCATCATGTGTATATCCAAGGTCACCATTCATTTTCTTACATACACCAGCAAACTTGAGTAACAAGCACTTGAAAAGTTTCAGACACTGCATAGGCTACATGTATGACACTTATGTATCACTGAATATGAGTCTCTCAAGAACTAGTGTATTTCAATCGATGCCTGTCTCACACTGTAAAGACTACATGTATGACACTTATAAATCAAAGAATATGTGTCTTTGTCATTTCAATGTGTGTCTCACACTGTAATGGCAACGTGCATGATGCTTATATATCATAAAATATGTGTCTCAGAAAAAGAGTGTCTTTCAATATATGTGTGTCTCACATAATAATGGTACAGTCATATACTGTAAGATCACAATAACTCTCACAATACATTTAAGCTAGATGGTAATATAAGCTTCCACTATAGTATGAAGTGTATGGGTATTATGAGTAAGCATTGTATAGTGTAGCACAATGTCTGTGAATAATGTGTAGATTTCATGTGCAGATCACAGAATGTATTAAGTCTATGCTATAGAATTAGGAGAAATGTTTCGTGATGCTAGTGTCTCTATTGTTGAGTGAATGTGTCTCTAATAATGAATTTCTCAGTAGGAATCTCCAATATTGTGTCATTTGTATGGTTCAGTAAATGAATATCTGATGTTGAGTGACTCAGTAAGAAGGTGTCTCTATGATAAGTTTCTCAGTAGGAATGTGTCTCCAATATCATGTGGCTCAGTAATAATGTGTCTCTATTTTGCGTGGCTCAGTAAGATTGTGTCTCTATTAATGAATATATCAGTAGGATTTAGTCTCCAATATATTGTTTGGCTCAGTGTAAATATGTCTGTCTCTCACATTCCATGCAGTTATGCATATCAATTCAATTTCCACATCTTCATTATTCATGTACTAGCATTTTTTTCCTGTCTTAGATCACACTCAATGCCCTCCCCAGATTCTTCCTCCTTCGCAAGTCAATAAATCTTTTCCTTGATTTCGAATAATGTTTCTACCCAACTGATTCAACTGAAAATGGCCATATCCACATCACCAAAATCTCTAAGATCACTTCGTAATCTCCGATATCCAACATCGAATCGTCAGTTCTTCTGATTTACCAAAACATGACATAATAATACTATTTCAGGATCACCGCAGCATAGTGTTATATTGATCGAAACTCTACTGCAGAATTATACTCCCAGACTGACAAATTACTAAATCTAAATCATGATCTAATTCAAATGCTTTGGCATTTAATAACTGTGAACTAAGTTAGACCTGTGAACACATTCAGATTCATAATAAACATTTCTTTTAGCTATGTAAAACAAGAAGTGTTTTTAATAATCATAAATGCCATAAATAAGTTAAACATTCTTTGCAATAAATTAGAGCGTGGTTTGCAGACAGAATATATTGACTGAGTTTCATGGTTGATTATGATATCATGAATTCAGTTTACATTTCATTAGTTATAATTAACTGTATGTCACTTGTTGTTCCCTTAAGGGAAGCTATATATCATGTTAACTAATACGAAGGAAGCAATAAGATTATTACTGTCTTTAATATCTCTTGGGTCTGTATTCAACCTAAATGGAGAAAGGACTTGACACTGATGACATGATGGATGAACCATATTATTTTAAGGTTTGGCAACTTTACCATACTCAAAATATCAACATCTTCTATTGTCAATGTCAATGCTATGTCAATTTGTCAAGATGAAATTAAATATGATATGGTTTTGATATTTTGCCACTTGCAAGATTAGATTATTCTCAAGGAATTTCAACCTGAGAAACAGATCTTTATTTAAGAATAAAACATAAAGCGAAGATCCAAAATCCCGGGTCCAAAATTCACTCAAAGAGAGTAATGAATCAACTATGATGGGACATAAGAAAACTATCCTCCCTTCATATATATCATTTTTAATAAATAAAGATAAAAAATTGCAAGATCAATAAACACTTAGATTAGGATGGTTTTACAAATAACAAACCTGAAGGAATAATTATTTAATTCAACTTCTCTACTTTTAAGAAATGTCATTTGTATTGAGTGTTTAGTTAAAACAGAATTATTTTCAAAATTAATTATCTAATGAGATTTAAATTCAAAGGCAATTAGTTATATTTCTGACATATTTTAGTTAATAACAATCAGGACATGGAGCAGAAGCTTCAAAGCTATGAGACAGTTAACCACTGCCAAGTTGGAATGAGATTAAATGTACAAATAATCCAATCAGACTTGAATTATTCAAGTAAAGGAGTTCTAACAATTGGTTTCTCGCTGATTTATTTAGTTTAATTGTGTTTGACAGAATAATTTGAAATGATCACAAGCAGACCAATCCAGTTTGAACCAAACTGCCATTGTGAGTATGTTATCTCAAATTCTCCCGAGAAATCAATCCACTTTTGTGCTATATTTTTCATTTTGGTGAACTATTAAAACATACATGTACTTGAAACCATACAGATCACACTATTGACACACTTTACTCCATTTGATTGTCATGATGTCATCCTATCACCTAATTTTAAGATCATGAGTATACTGACACACAGAACCTTATCATCATACCTTAGACCATTGAGTCTACTTGCACATACAGTGTAGACTCTTGTCATTGTACCCTAAGACTATGAGACTATTGACATATAGCATCTTGTTAACATACCCTTAAACTGGGCCTAAACTACATGTATTACTCATTACATAGGAAATTGTTTAATTATGACATGGTTTAACATCCTACAGATGTTTCAAAATTATAAATGAGCATCATTATCGCAGTTGTTATTTGATTATGATCTCACTGACTCTGTGTATGCTGCAGTTGCCTTGGAAAGTTAGTCTAAGATGAATTAATATTGCTTCGTCTTTATATTGATTTTCTTTGTTTCCAGTTCAAGTATTTTAGATGAGATCTGCATAAGTGACATCTATTCAAAAAAGTATGAAGAAAAAACACAATTGCATAACATTGAAAAGTAATAAACAAAATATAAACTGAAGGAATTTAAATGGGTTTTAACAAACATTCTTCACTGCTAATAATACATTTGTTATTTTGTTTTTAACTCCATTATCAACTGATATTCTTGGCGTTTATTTTTGTAGATGATTTTTTGAATGCTAGCAAGATTTTAATCTTAAAAATTAATCCTTCTCAATCTGTCATTTCAGGTAAAGGCATCTAAATCCCGGAAAAAAGTTTTATCCTTCACTGCTAATAATACATTTGTTTTTAATTCCATTATGAACTTATATTCTTAGGGTGTGTTTTTGTATGATCATGGAGCAAGTGAATTTGATATGGTTGCGTAAGGTTTAATCTGTTTTCACCCAGAGTAACAAAAACAGATCTACTATCACTGAGGTGCAAATTGCATTAACATTATGGTCACTCCATTCAGATACTCATAGCATCTTTCAGGAACAAAAATGCAACCTTAATCTAATTGCTTGATCAACTCCAAATTTAATCCCAGGCACACAATTTTTGCAATCAAGTCAAAAACAAACAGCAAGGCAGCAGGTTAATCCTACTGTATTTGCATAATTATGATCTTTAGGAAATCTCAATTTCCTAATTATCAAGTTGGGTTGCTGTTTCTAGCCAAACATCACAGTGGGAGTTTGACTCTTTGAAAAGCTAGGCCTATGCTCCAAACTCTTAGTCTAGTCTAGGCTACAGAAAGAAAACTGAGAACGTGGGACTCATAGTTGAAGAGAATGTTCTGGCGAAAGAAGGTATCCAAATTTGAGAAGTTGGGATACATGAATGAAAAAATGAAGTAACCTTTTTTATTTCCCGAATCTCTCCGAAATTAGCTCATCTTGGTGACTGTAAATTGCACAGCTGTATTCAATAGAGTGTTGTGTTCTCGTATTCAATCAACCTCAATTTTAAATTGTGTATTTTATTTTTAATGTGATTTCATTGTTTTTTGTTGACTGGTACGATTCGGCCGAGCAAATGGCAAGATGAATGACCCTTGACCAATGGTGATCATGTCATCAATATTACCATGCAAGTATTAACTATGCCTACCATTCCCTCACTGAGACTATGACACATGACCCCAGCCTGTCCTATTTCCTATTTCTTATCCAAATTGCTGCTATTCTTCCATATTACATGCATTTACATTTGTAATTAAATTTATGTATTTTCCAGCTTAGCCTATAATGCTTTATAAGCGATTGGCAAGCCATTCTTGTAAAACATGATTATGATGAAATAAATTGATAATGTATAAAAAAATAAAAATAAAAATATTACCAAGATGGCAGTTTCAAAATTTTCTAAAATCACAAAGCATTACAAAGCATCTAAGGTACGTAAATTTATATGAACAACTGAGTCAATAGGGATAAATAGCCCAACGAGAGTCGGTAAATACTTGAATCTTGTTGCCAGTCCTGTTATTGATATCTATCCCGTTCGAAGAACATATTAGACATCCGCGACGGGACTATACATATAGATGACAGGTGAAACTCAAGTCAAACTAAAAAAGTCAACTGTGGAACTTGGAACTGGAACTGGAAGAGAATTTTTTTTACTCTCATGCTCTTCGAAGTCTATGAAATTCAACCGCACACATCGATCATGCTAATTATAGCTCAGTAAAGGATATGGAAAACCACTCTACAAAACTACATGACTAAAGACTCATAAAGCCAAGAAAACGGGTCATAATTACCTGATTTGAACGAAAATATTATTTTTGTGGCCAAAATTTCATAACCTCGTTTCATTCTCGTCACACACCAATGCGAGACGTTGGCGTGATTTGGAATTTTTCTTAGCTCTTGATATTGAAGTGATTTGCTTTTAAATTACCTGTATAGCGCCTGATATCGATTGTTCATCTTGTTTGAAACCTTATGGATTTGATTTAGTGATAATTAGCTGTCAGATATTGCCCAATATAAGATTTATAAAAAGGGGATATATTTTTAATCGTCACGTGATAATATTCTGACCATTGATAGGGCTTGTAACAAACCTGTTTGGCTTGGTTTCCATAATTAACAAATTTCAAATCATTTCTGACTTCTAATACCTATTAGATCTGCCATACAACGAATGCAGTATTGATCAAAATGGGAGGCTGTTTATCCAACCCTGCAAGACCCGAGGAAACGGCAGAAGCGCCACCAAAGCAGTATTCATGGTATGTATTGTTTTGTCCAATCCAATTGGGTCTCTACAAAGTCAGCACTATCAATGGTATACTCTTATCCCGTTCCCGGACTATGGTCCTGTGAACATCTCAATCTTTTGCCTGTGCGATTACAACATGGGAGAATTTTTTACTCATCTTACACTTCTGATACCTACTTCAATAGATTCCTTGGTAATTTAGCATTCTTTTTGTGTAGTTGAATCCACAATTGTCTGGGTTTATCGGCAGAACGAAGACATTTTCGTTTTTGATCGCAATATTTGCGTGTAACATTTAACTTATTTCAACCGTCAAATTCCTCCATATTGGTACTTCCGGGCTACATCCGGGACAGCCAAACGGGGGATTCCCCTTTTAAATCCAACCGCCATTTTGAAAAGTGATGGAATCTCTCTCGATGAAAAAGAGAAATGTTCCCGTTCTGCCGATATACCCAGACAATCGGCGGTTCCAATATATTAGAAGTTACATCTTGAGTTCTATAATGCATTGAGGTAGGTATCTTAAGTGTAAGGGGCGTAGATAATTCTCCCAAGTTGTAATCGTACAGGCAAATGAATGCGCTCAGTGCAGGACTATAGTCCGGGAACGGGATAAGTATACTCTACCTTTATACTAGATAAAATACTAAGTTCAAAAACTGTTCGCCATTTTGGTTTCACAACTGCGTCGATACATTCCGTTCAGTGTAAAATCGTATCCTAAAGCCCAAATCCCGGGAATCCAGACTCACTGTTTACACCAACAATCAATCAGATGGTATTATTACACCAAAAGTACATGTAGTGCGAAAAAGTTTTGATGACATTTAAAGACACTGTTCCTCTTTCACGTGCATTATCTCATGGAAATGGGCATACCAGTGTTGCCAGTGCAAAGATCTTTGTTCCATGGTAAAGGAAAGCTATCAAACATTGTCTGAAGAGCAGATCTAGCTCCGTTATTTTACTTTTAACATGGCGACCTTGACAACATATAGCCATTTGGGCGATAATAGGTGATTCTAAAGTGAAAATGAGTGCTTTTTTCGTAGTTTTACTTTGACCAAGGCTTGCAAAAAATTTAAGTGATAAGCCTTCCAACAATTTTTGATATTTTTGTTGTTTCGAAGTGTTCTAGATGATATCAAAGTGGAAAAAAAATTGTATGTCTTGAAATATTTTGAAAATTAGTGCCATTATGGCGGGTCTGGGTGTTTTTTGCTTTCATTTTTTACCCATTTCCACGGTTGCCATGGTAACTCATACCAGCCAACCTACCATATTTTTACGGGAATCAACCAAAAAATATTCGTTTTTCCGTTTAAAAATCTAAATACCATAAAAAAATTACCGTTTTTTCCTGTAAAAACGACCGTAAAAAATCTGCTGTAACTTTACCAAAATCTACCGTAAAATATTTTATTATCATTCGATTTTTTCTAGAAGAACGGCCGTAAAATATACCGTAAATATTTGAAAATCTACCATATTTCTGCTGGAAATAACAGTATTCTTGTTCAAACTACAGTAAGATCTCCTATAATTATTATGAAATTCTGAAAAATTGAATTCTTCTCGTATTGCCCTTGTAATATTCCATCACCAGCCCAAAAAATAGGTGCCGGCAGGTCTTTGACGGTGGTTATTGCGTACTTAGTAAGTAACTAAGTAAGCTGACGTGTAATCAGTCAACACACTGGGGAATATCGTGATGCAAAAACAGTGTTCAACTACCACAGGAGGAGTAATCATGATTAATTTGTAAATTGCTACATTGTAGCAATGGCATGAGTATGATGTCACAATACACTGGGGCCTAACTGGCGTAAAGGGGGAGAAAAGGGCCAATTTTGCACATGGGGACCACATTTGACTCAAAATATTTGCATTTAGTAACCTACATTTCAGTACATTCTGTGAAATACTTGAAATGCATTGCTATAATGATTTACAAAATGAAATAATCTCGGGGAATTTGCTTCCAAAATGTTTGAATGAGATCCCTGAAGTTGATGACCCAATTTTAGGTCATTTTGGCCCGTTTTGAGAGACTCAGCCGTCACCTATTTTCCCAAATATGGCTAGATTTTGTAGAAAACGTGTTAAAAGTTTGAAATGCAGCTGTTTTGAGCCTGAAATAACTCAATTGTTTGAAAAAATGCTGAATGAGCAAAAATTGCAAGAATATAGTCCCGTAAACTGGAACTACTTTATTCGTTAATTTTCATCGGTGAAGCAGGGATTTTACCTAAAAATGAGTCCCTATGTTGGCGTTGTGATATTTAAAAATCGAGACGCAAACCCTATGTTAAATATAGTGTAAAGATGAAGGTTATGGATATAGTCATTGTATGGGCCAGTTCGTTCGAAAATGGCGATATGTAGCCCAGAACTTGAATTTTGTGATTTTTTTCAATATTTTTCAATGATTTACCGTAGTGACACCTCCATTTTTAAAACTCACACTGTTTACAACAACAACCAATCAGATAGGTTTAATTTTTTACATCGGGCATGTGCATGCGCCATTGGAGGAAGTGGACGGTTCGAGTGTGAATTTGGACCAACTTTTGCAAGTTTTACCAGGAAATCACCTTTCATTTGGTATGTTAGTAACGTTTTTTATCGTATTGGCTCCCATGGTTCACTATCGATACTTTCATAAATAACTTAAAAGTACTTCATTCCCATGATTCAAATTGCTTTTCTGCGATCAGTTCGGTATAAGTTTGCACACCAAATGTCCACAAATGGGGGCCAGTTCATATTCTGTCATACTTCTGTCGGGAGAATACATTTTGTTTTTATATGGCCCTAAACAGGGGGGCGTATATGCGAGAAAATCCGGTACATGTCGAATTATTAGCATAAATGTCACAGTTTGAACGATAAATGGAAATATAACACTTACGGAAAATATTGTCACAAATGCCTTGTGGACTTTCCTCTATTTATTAGAGATCTATTCACTTTTAGAATATACCATTCATAGTGCTGACTGTGGGTCTCTAGTACTCTACACTAGCTCTATACTGTAGCCTACTCTCAAAGTCAGCACTATCAATGGTATACTCTTATCCCGTGCCAGGTCTATAGTCCTACATTCAGAGCAATCTTTTGCCTCTTTGTAAATTTTGAAAAAAAACGGGAGATATTGAAAAAACTGGAGTTTTACGTAGTATGTATCTAGAGTTTTACGGGAGATTTTTTAAAAAAGGTATTTTTTGCGGTAAATTTTAAAAAACGTGACTTTTTACGGAAGATTTCAATTGGAGTTTTTGCGGTAAAGTTTGAAAAAAAACGGGAGATTTTGAAAAAACTGGAGTTTTACGGGAGATTTTTTAAAAAAGGTATTTTTCACGGTAAATTAAAAAAAACGTGACTTTTTTTTACGGAAGATTTCAGAAAAACAGGAGTTTTTGCAGTAGGTTTTGAAAAAAACGGGAGTTTTTGTGGTCGATTTTAAAAAAATCAGGAGTTTTTACGGTAGATTTCTGAAAAAACTGGAGTTTTTACGGTAGATTTCTGAAAAACAGGAGTTTTTTACGGTAGATTTCTGAAAAACAGGAGTTTTTTACGGTAGATTTCTGAAAAACAGGAGTTTTTTACGGTAGATTTCGGAAAAACAGGAGTTTTTACGGTAGACTTCTGAAAAAACGGGAGTTTTTATGGTAGATTTTGAAAAAACAGGAGTTGTAACGGTAGATTTCTGAAAAAAACGGGAGTTTTTACTTTAGATTTTGAAAAAACAGGAGTTTTTACTCTAGATTTTGAAAGAACGGCAGTTTTTACGGTAGATTTTGAAAGAACTGGAGTTTTTAAGGTAGATTTCTGAAAAAACGTGAGTTTTTACGGTAGACTTTGAAAAAACTGGAGTTTTTACGGTAGATTTATGAAAAAACTGGAGTTTTACGGTAGATTTATGAAAAAACTGGAGTTTTAACTTAAAAGTTTTAACAGTAGATTTCTGAAAAACGGAAGTTTTTACTTTTGATTTTGAAAAAACAGGAGTTTTTACTCTAGATTTTGAAAAAAGGGGAGTTTTTACGTTAGATTTTGAAAGAACTAGAGTTTTTAAGGTAGATTTCGGAAAAACAGGAGTTTTTACGGTAGATTTCTGAAAAAACTGGAGTTTTTACGGTAGATTTATGAAAAAACTGGAGTTTTTACTTAAAATTTTGAAAAAAAGGAGTTTTTACGGTAGATTTCTGAAAAAACTGGAGTTTTTACTTTAGATTTTGAAAAACAAATTGTCAAACTGGAGTTTTTACTTTAGATTTTGAAAAAACTGGAGTTTTCAGTACAGAAACAGCTTCCATTAGCGGGCTGGAAGTTAAGCCCATTACTTGTATACACAAATGGGTCGAAGTCCTACCTTGACCACCTTAGATATAGTGACTAATTAGTCGGCTTCTTACCTTGTAAATGAAGCGCCATCGCTGACTCAGAAAATCTGGATAGAACTCTTCAAATTATAATGCAACTTCGAACCAATACAAAAATTGTTTATTTCATATAATTATTTTAACTGATATAGTTCAAATTGTCAAACTCTGGGATGATTTATATTTCAAACTGTCTATATTATTAATATGATCTGTTTAGATTATAGATACAACATTTTATTACTTTGGAAACGAATTGATCAAAGCTAAGTAAAATGTATATGTGGCGTTCACTATATGCTACGGGCAATCTGCGTGAGGTTCCATTTTTAGGTTTTTCGCGCATGAGCATTAAATTCAGCGATTTAATTGGTTGAAATTATTATGACGCATGCGCAGTTAATAAATTAATTAGAACTTATAATCTAAGATAGATGTCACTTACATTCATTATTTCACAGCAGTCTCTACCCATAATGCGCCTTATAGTGCGGGAATATTTTGTTTAGGGCCATATAAAAACAAAATGTATTCTCCCGACAGAAGTATGACAGAATATGAACTGGCCCCCATTTGTGGACATTTGGTGTGCAAACTTATACCGAACTGATCGCAGAAAAGC